GCTGAATTCATCATGATGGGCTAACTGGCCTGTTTTCATTCTCATCGATCACCCTTCACTGGTACCCCGCCAGCGTATTCCGTTAGCGCAGGCGGGGTTACCATTCCATTTTCATCCAATAAAAAAAAATCAAAGCACTTTAATTTAAATAAGAACAATAGCTTTTATTTTAAAATATTTTAAAAGTATATAACACCTTATAATTTTCCTTTAACTTCTAAAGTGAAGAAAGAAATTGTTTCACTGTTTAAATAATTTAAATCCTAGTAACTTCTCACGGAACCCTTAGGTTCTGTGGAACCCATTTTAGGAATCGCTTATCTAGACTTCTACGCTTTTCAACCTAAAGTTGAACAGTATACTTAGGGCTGCCATCCGTCCGGAATTCCTCGGATTTGTCCTAGTTTGAAGGGCGTCCGGGGGCCGTTTTTGAAAAGTGTTCGGTTGTAACCTGGACACTTTTGTTGTCAAGGGAAATCCACAATAACCCTATTTTTATGTAACAATGTTTTTATTTTTATTACAAAAATATTTTTTCAGAAGTGTTCGGGTAAAAAATCATATTTCGCCCAAATGTCCGGGATTTTTGCCGTGTTTATCCGGTGTCGGCAATTTAGGTGATGGCAACCCTAAGCATAGTCACAATATGCCATGAGCCAAGATTGAATTGACAGTTCAAAGTACCTATTGTACTGTAAGACGGATATAATATCATTCGTATTGTCGTATGTAGGTCGCGGGTAACAATGTAGTGCGGTGTTGCCAGGCGGTCCACCTGTTGGTATTTCTGTCCCTGTATACTAAACATAATTTTTTTTTTGTATTGTATTATGTTAGACGTTAACTGTCCACTGCTGAACATAGCCTCCACCATAAGAGGGGTTTTACCAGTAATTGCCACGCTTGGCAAGCAGGTTGGCAACTGCTGTTTGGCTTTTGGTGATGTTTTAGGAGGGACGCTGCTATCCATCTCTCAATCATAAGCTCCCTTAGTAGCTTCTTACGATACACACGGGAAAGAAAACGGTGGCGTATTCTATTTGGACCCCTACACGGCAAATATTACATTTACTATACCATAAACAACCCTTTGAGCGCTTTTATAATATACCATAGTGCAGCACGACAATATGGTATTTTTTAAACATATTTTTGTTGAGGCTTAAGTACACCTGAGCGACTATGCCAGCATCATAGGGATTGTCTGAAAGTCACTCTGTCAGTCCGTCAGGGGCACCTTTACCCATAGATATATAAGATGTATAAAGTATGAATGTGGATATAAGGAAGACTTAAAAATAAATGGAAGGATTGTTTTGAAAGATGATACGGCACTTTGATGTTAGCCAAAAGGCCGAGAAGCGATAAGATGGAACAGCCAGAATGGGAACGAATGCGGAAATGACGGCGAGTAAAGAATACTAGTGCCGCATTCGAGTATTGTAACACTTCCCTAAGGTTAATTGAAAGAGAATGGTTTTAGCATTAAATACACCCTTGTTCACATACCTTTAAATTATTCACATACTATTAAAGAATAAATAAATAAATAATATATATAAGATGAATGGATAACATATTATGCCCATCCCATATCTGTTAGACAATGTGATTTGTCGTAAATTTTACTGGTAGTATAAATGTGATAATTAAGATTGTGTTCCAAAAAAAAAAAAACTGCAATTGTGGCAAAACTAGTTATTTTTATTTAAAAACTAAACCACTAAATAGATTTTGATAATTTTTTTATCAGATTAACCTGTATCCTGTATATGTATATCTTTTCAGGTAAAAAAAAAAACCAAATAAGTTTTTCAATTGATAAAGTTATGAGATACCAAACATAAGAATACATCTGAATTAGACCTCTTTCTGTTGGGAATTGTTTAAAAATTCATGATGGATATACTTTTTCTCACTCAATATTTATTTCATATGAACTAATTTGTTTTTAAGCTGTATATATTGTGTAGTTACAATTACTACTTAATTTACTGGGTACAGAGGAATAACATCTGAGTCCTCAGGAATGGCAACGCATGGGGGGTATCATGGGTGAAACAGTAAACTCTGTTATGTCCATGGTACTGCTCATGTCTATAGGCGACGGTTACCACTTTCCATCAGGTGGGCCGTCAGCTTGTTTGCCATTCTAAGTTGTATAAAAAATATATATATAGGCAGCTTAAAAACAAATTAATTCATATCTCATATTCATTACATTGTATATTCAACAATATTTGACTTTAGACTTTTTAATATTACACTGACTCACACCCAGTACAGGAGCAATTGCTTCAGAATACGAGCTTTCACTATTTTCAGTGATGTATGTCGAAGGGATCACGGAACAGATATAATATATTTAATAGTAGCAACAGTTCTATAAGAAAAACAATTGCAGATTATTCATTGATTGATTTTAACAACATTTAGCCTATGCTTTTTTCATTTATTAATTATCAAGAATTTTAATTAGTATATGTGGTAGCTTTTAATTAGCATATTGTTATCATGTATAGTTAATTATTAAGCTATTAAAACTGCAAACTTTCTTCAAAATTAATAAATAAATATGAAATTTACTTTGTAATATCTAACTTAGAAATATAAACAATGACTATGATTGTATTATAACATATAATATCTAGAGAGTACAGTTATCCAGTAGGTCAAGTTAATCTAATATGTGCATATAAATAAGGTGCGGCTTGTCCAAATAAATCCATTGTGTTATCAAACCATACATTTCCTAAATTTATTCTAGTCTGGGTACTTCATTTGAATCTCAGTACTACTACAAGCTGTTATGTATTGGTTCATTTTCTAATTGATATAAATTATGAAAGATACTGCTTACAATTGTAAATTTTATCAAACATTAATTTTGCTTGCAACTTTGTATGTGTGGATTTTAAGAATAGGTAACCACTTTTAGACAACAAAACAAGATGCAAATATTAAGTTAGATTTTTAGGAACACAATGATAACCTCATTCAATTTGGTGCAGCAGTTGTTGCATGATGCCAAAGCAAACATACAGACAGACAAAAATTCCAAATAATTTAAGTTTGGTTTCTATTGCTCTCATCAAAGATATATGTATATGTTAATTCTAGTTAAAATTTTATTATTTTAGTAAGACAAGATTAGCTGTAATGGTTTCCAGGGGAACCCCAAGAATTTTAATGATATGGATATATTGTTTTTTCTTTTATGGGTGAAAATGGTATGGTAACCCCGCCTGGGCTAACGAGATACGCTGGCGGAGCACCAGTGAAGGGTGATACATGAGAATAAAAATAGGCCAGCTAGCCCATCATGATGAATTCATCAGGATTTAACCATGATAGTTTCCACGGGGAACTGCGAGGAGGTCAACCTGGTTGGTATATTGCTAGCAATGGGATTCTCAGTTTCCATTACTAACAATCCCTTTTCCCCCTATGGGTATGTTGTTAGTAATTCGGTTACCAGACCCCCTTTCTAATAATCTTTTTCTTCCTGACCTTTTTCAAGAATCACTTAGTTGTGCCCAATCACATAAACAAAATTAATAAAATGTAACATAATGTATTGTCATTTGGTCCTGATATAGAATGAGCGACCCCTTCCTTTCTCATGGGTGTCATAAGAAGTGACTAAAGAAACTCAAAGTTCAAGGGATAGGCAGCAGCGTCACTCTTAACACACCTAACTGCATTTGCCAGGGGGGAAGGGATCGTTAGTAATGGGGACGTTAGTCCTTATTATTATCAGTATATCCTAGCGGGTCGACCTCCATGCGGTTCCCTCTGGAAACTATCGTGACTAATTTATCATTGAATTAGTCATGATGGGCTAACTGACCTGCCTTTTCATCCTCACCAATAATTCCTCACTGGTGCCCCTCCAGTGTATACCGATAGCGCAGGTGGGGTTACGATTTCATTTTCATCCATTAAAAAAAAATAACTGCAGTTGCCAACCCGCCTGCCAAGAGTGGCATCTATTGGCAAAACTCCTTTATGTTGGGATGTTTATGTTCAGCAATGAATAGTTAATGGCTAATATGATGATATATTACATAAGTAGGTGTAAAGAATTAAGTGAATATACCAGTTCATTAAAAAAAAAACTAGAAACACAAGATATAGGTGGTGAGGTAATTCATTATCATCAGCATCATCACCAACAGCAGGAAAACAATATTTATAAGAAATAAAGTTAGCTATATTGGATTGCAGCATTAACACATAGCTTTAAATTTGAACAACTCTGCAATAGTTATAAAATTTAAAATTGCTTACACCTATACTTCCAATACAATATAAAATAGGTATAAATGTACAATATCAACAAACCGATAGTAGCGCCACCTACTGCACCGCGTGATCTAACTATAATGACTCGAGTGCCGCCATTTTGTCATCCCTCGACGCTGTCATTTGACTGTCATCAAGACATTATACAAGTCAAAAATGAATCCGATAACAACAACAAACAAACACAAAATAGTATGATATGGTAATGTAAGGGTTTAATACAAGTAAACATAAGTTCATGGTGCAATAACGTATCGATCGGGGGCCACAGAATGGCTGTAGACATCACGTATCGAAAGCAAGTCTAAAAATAACTACCACGTGCCGAATTAAAGGTTCTACGCAAATTAGGAGCATTTTGATGTTCATTATGCCCATTGACGCTTAAATAGAGATCATAATTTACAGAAATTATGTAGAAATTAAAATAAATAACGAAACTGTAACATTAACAAGTGAACAATGTGGCGTATTGGCGCCATTTTAGTTTGCGAACACGGGCTCATTAAGTGACGTAACAGGGCTGAGAAACTATGTAAATGTTTAAAAAACCACCGCAAAGCCATTTAATTCAATTTCAATAGCGAATTTTTGGCGAAAAGGGCATTGTTTTTGTATACATGTCACCTTGACATATCATGTCAAATTGACATGCCATGGCGGAAACGTGGCGTCGTTTTGGACCGGCTTCTTACCTCCAGGCGACATGGATTGCTGTCTATTTGATACTCGAGCCTCTCTGATAATTTCTCGGGTTAATTCTCTGACGTCGCGGCGTTGCTGGAATACCGCCATATCGGGCCGGTCGCGCTGTTCTTGTGCTATACCGGCCGTAGGAGGTAACATCGTCACTTAATCCATATGAATATCGTTTTTCACATACAGTCACACGTAAATACTTATATTGTTCACAAAATGTCAGCAGTAAATTGAAAGTTCACGGTAACTTTTAAACAAAATAATTTATCTACGCACAGCAAACCGAACAGAGCGCGACTGACGTACGGGGGACGGCGGGAAGCTACTGCGCCGTCGCGCAGCTATCCCTTACTATCGCAAATGAAATCGTATCGTTATTTCTCTCACACGGAAACGCTTTGATGACAGTATGTAAGTATAAAATGTCAAAACAAAGCGTGGGCTCTATTCAAATGTCAAACGGCCAATAGTTTACAAATAAACAAGCGCCATCTATTTTTATTCCTTAGCACTAATAAAGAAATGGGCACAAATCTATTTTTAACGAATCGGAAAAAGTTTGTCAATCAATTGGTTAGTAGTTTGAACGGATTTGTTGCGTAAGTTGTTCGTCGATACGTGGATTTTTTGGCTTCGACTAATGAATTTACAAACTTATTTATTTATTTAAGCATATATATAAAGGAAATAATTTATAAAATAATTTTTACCCAGTTATATATTAATTCTTCGTTTCTTGCGGAATAGACAAATAGTTTTTTTTTATGCAATTGGTATAAAAAATAAAATAATCTGACACTCTACCTGATGTAAAAAGCCAACCGTGGCCTACAGGTAGACAAGTACTTTTATGTATTAGTTTATTATGTTTCTATACGATTTCTGATGATTTGATTGTGTTAATCTTTTTGTATTGACCTGAATGTTATTTTTTTTTAATGGATAATAATAAAATGGTAGCCCTGCTTGCGCTAACAGTATACATCGGGGGGTCACCAATGAGGGGTGATAGATGAGAATGGAATCAGGTCAGTTAGCCCATCGTGGCGAATGAAACGAGTATTAATCATAATTATTTCTAGGGAGAACCGCATGGAGGTCGACCTGACAAGGCTTGCTAGCAAAGGGGCCATTAGTCCCTATTACTAACATTCCTTTTTCTCCAGTATAAAAGGTGAGAATGAAGCAGGTCAGTTAGTCCATTGTACTGCTCATGTCTATAGGTGACGGTTGCCACTTTCCATCAGGTGGGCTGTCAGCTTGTTTGCCATTCTAAGTTGCATAAAAAATATATATATTTAACAAACATACTTTTTTTCTCGTTTATAATATTAGTAAGTATTTATATTTTTTTATGGTCTAATACACGTGAAAATCGAAAGGTGAATAAAATGAAATGTAACAAATATAATTAAACATTATTATAATTGTCTAATCGTATTAATTTCTAGGAATACTATTACAATACATAAAATCATATTTGAATAAATGTGAAGTAACAATGAGTGAAAAATGCAGGGTGTACAGCATAGAAGGCGTGGATTCAAATCCCGCCTGTTTCGAAATTTGCAATTATGTAGTAACTAGAAAGTCAGCGCTGTGGTCCAGCCAAGTGCCATAGCATATACTACGTCGGAGTACCACATATATAAATATATATATATAAATATATATATATATAATATATATATATATATATATATATATATATATATATATATATATATATATCTCTGAAAATTGATTTTATATATTTATTTCATAAACACATCACTTCAGAACGGTTGCACCTATTTGGCTAATTCTAATAATTTATTTATATTAGCTGAATTGCCGTTTAGTCACGGCTTAGAATCGCCTTTCCTTTCCTGTGGGTGCCGTAAGAATCGACTAAGGAAACTTAATGATAGAGAGATAGACAGCAACGTCTCTCTTAAAATATTATCGAAACCTAACTGTGATTGGCAACCTTTCTTTATAGCGGAAGTCTATGTTTAGTAGGGGACAGTTAACGGGTGATATGATGATGTTGGGGAAATATAAAATGATAAATATTCAAACATACATATGGACGGATTTATTATGCTTCAATAAAGTTACAGTTAGTTAGACATAATTAATAACACACCTACATGATAATATTATATATAAAAGGTTTCACACACTAATACAATACTTAAGAGGAGCTATTCATAGATTTGATCAGCCTCGTGTACACCATTTCAGGTGCCTTCTTGTAATGCTGGTAATCCATGTGAGCGAAGTACCCCTCTGGCACTTTGTAGTACTCCGTCACATTGGGCAGTTCCCTGTGCAGCCTCTCGACGTCCTTGGGGTGCGACAACCAATCCTCCTCACTGTAGTACAAAACGACAGGGGTCTGGATCTTGGATACATCATATACTGGTGGCTGAACTGAACCATACATCTTCTTGTTGATCTTAGCGCCATGATCGTACATTCTAAATTCACGGGAAGCAAACGATTGGCTGTACTGCTTTATTTGTCTGGTCGAACCTCCAGCGGGCAAGTGCCCTGTGATCATCGGAATCTGAGCGGGTTCCATGTGCTCCAAATTTACTCCGGACATGACAAAGTTGAGGTTGGAGCAAATCTTCCTACATCCGATCTCCTTTTCGCACATTTCGCCTCCCAATGTTTTAAGCAGTTCTTTGGACGGGTGGAACTCGCCATCCATAAAGTATGGGCTGAGTTGCTCATGGAGATCGCTGGTCGGAGCAATCATGCGGACCATGGGGCTGCGCACGTGGCTCATGTACACCATTGGGGCCATAGCGTACATCTTTATTATTTTGTCGCCGTATTCGGGCATAGTGGACGCCATAGCGAAGAATGCGGTGGTACCCTGGTCATAACCAACGTAGTACAACTTCTTTTGGCCAGTGATTTGCAGGACGTAATCGATCAGGGATGGCAAATCAACGCGGGCGATCTCATCAACGCTGAATTGCCAGAAGTCCTTCTGAGCTGGGTGTTTCGAGACGTGTTGGCGGCCATATTTGTTTCCGCGGACGTTGCCTAGCCATACTTCGTAGCCTTCGTCAGCTAACAAGTAAGCTAGGGAGTATTCGGGGCCCATGAGGAGCCAGTCGTCGGCGCTGCCGTATAGGCCGTGCATTAGTAGGACGACGCCCTTCGATGCCACGCTGCGAGTACGCCTGGCCGTGTATTTCATGATGCGGAACACCGTGAGGTAGTAGCCATCGCCAGTCTGTATGGTGTGCTCCTCTACTGGATACCCATATTTCTTCAATAGTTGGGTAGCGTTAAAATAAACGTCCTCGTCTTCCTTCTGGACGGCGAGCTCGTACATTTTGTGGAATGTCTTTTGGCTGTCTTCATCGATGTGTTTCATTGACATCTGTGCGTCGGCGAAGAGTTTTTCGATTTGTTCCTTCTTCTTGATCTGCGAGTGGGGGCCGAGGGCCATTTTGATGCCCTGGAACTCGATAGCGTCACCGTGCGGTGCTTCTACAGGTTTCTTCATCATTTGAGCAGTCATATTCTCGTCGGCGTAGACGGGAGGCATGTACATGTCCTCGGGACGGTGTTCCCCGGATGATTCGCTTGATGAAGAGCGTTTGCTTGTTTGTAGTGTTTCGTCATATTCGGAACTGTGGACCTTGCTGTACTCCCTCTGTACACGAGGATGCTGTTGGTAGTATCCGTCCAGGTATTGCAGAGACTCTCCGGGTAGTTTCCCGAGTAGTTTCGGCACGTGTTGCTGTGGGTAGTCGTACTGTTTCTGTTCTTGGACGTGAGAATACGGTATTTCTGTGACTCTTTGGACAGGCAAGAACTTATCAAGCTTGTCCTTGAATTGATGCACTTTCTTATGGATATTTTCGAGCGGTTCACCGAAACGCTCTAATATGGGCCGTCTTTCGAAGATGCTCCCTGCAATATGGCGGGCTAGCCCCAGGCACAGCAGTAAGCACACCGCCTTCATTGTGACTGTAAGTGTAAGAAAAATATGCCATGCCGATGTTTTTATACAATTATTTTGTAGATTCAGCGCTTTGCAGCACGTAGCTCCGTTCAGTGACGTGATTTTATTAAGATACTTACACACCGATGCAATTGCTAGCACAAACTGAAATGTTATGAATTCATCACGTTTGTCTGTATGTTATCAGTTATTTTACTTACGTTCGATCATTACGAATTTTATCAGAAAGGTTTATACTTAATGAGAACTACAAAGAGATTTTCAAAATAAATATGTTGTATAATAAGGTCACGTATGGGCACCACAGAATATCAGCGCTGTAGCAATTCAATTGCCGCAGCACATGCTGAGTGGTGACCACGTTGGCAATAATAAATGTGAAGTTTTTTTTTTTTAATTCATAATGTATGTAACTTTTTGTTGTTGTCAATAAATGTTTTCTTTCTTTCTTTCTTTCTTTCTTGTACTTTTATTATTTGTAACTAAGTAGTTTATTTCTCATGCAACTATTTATCTGTTCGTATAAAACATTTTTTTTTTTAATATTTTAAGGGCTTTTACCTTCTTCAGGTATATCAGTCCTATTGTACCCTGAACTGATTTCTCCAACAAAACTTTATCTACCTTCCCTAGACGCGGAAAGAGAAGAATTAATGGGCATCAATAATTTACAGAGATGTTCAAAAATTTCTGGTTTAAGTTCAGCTAACATAGTTTGAATAAGACCAACATTCAATTTATTTAAGTTAAAGTGGCGCATGTATTCTTCTCTTTCCTTCGTGTTAATACGACACTCTAATAGAATATGATGCACATCATCGATGGTACTACAAGTTTGACAATGGGGTGACAAGGACTTTCCCATCATATGTGCAAATTTTTTTGATGGATAATGACCAGAACGTAAACGAACAGCTAATTTAATACAGTACCTATTGATTTTAATTCCACAAAACCATAATACATAATGTACCAGGATATTTTAATAGACTTTTTAGTGACTGTATACATCCGTAACGGCACGATATTTTAAAAACTACTGTTATAATCGACATATCATCCATATGATATACTATTAATATTGTAGAAATTTGTAAAACATATTGTTATGACGTTAATAGATCTTATTTAGATCCCTAACATTAATTATTCACAAATATCCCCCTATATATTAATGATTTGTTCCTTTTTCTTGATCGGCGAGTGGGGACCGAGGGCCATATTTATGCCCTGGAACTCGTCATCTTTATAATTTTATTATATTAGTAACTGAGTTGTGGCCATTTTGTATTGCTATGGCACACTCACAAACAAAAGTTGCATTTGGTTTTGTGTATTTTTTTTGTCATTTATGTTATCTCGCTCTTTTTTTGTGTATGTATGTTGTAATTTGTGTGCTGTAAGTAATGCAAATAAAATTATCTATCTATCTATCTAGTAGCTGATCCGGCAAGCATGGGGGGGGGGAGGCATTGTCAGTAATGTGGATTTTTTTTTTAATGGATGATAATGGAATGGTAACCCCGCCTGCGCTAACGGTATACGCTGGCGCGGCACCAGTGGAGCAATGGAACTGATAATCCGCATTATTAACAATCCCTTCTCCCCCAAGTTATGTGGACTATCAGTCCTATTGATAACAACATAGCTTATCAGGTCGATCTTCGCTATAGTGCTGAATTCCCGATATATTCATCACGATGGGCTAACTGACCTGCCTTTTCATTCTCACCTATCATCCCTCACTGGTGCCCCTACAGTGTATACCGTTAGCGCAGGTGGGGTTACCACTACATTATCATCCATTAAAAGAACAGGAAAACATTGTTTTGCCTCCTGCCGGGTCGACTTTTTTTTTTATCGCGTTAAAAACTATTCTGTCTCTCAAGTAGGTTGGTCACATTTACAAAGTTTCTTTAAAACAGTTTCGGAGATTAGACAGGATTAAAATTTATTACATATGAATTTGATATTTAATTAAAATTACAAAACACTATATCGTGTGTATTTAAAATACAAAATACAGTATTTTGACTATTTTTTATTTAAAATATAAAGTACAAATTATAGTCAGGTATTAAGTAAAGTAAATTACAATAGAATTAATCCAGCCTAGTCTATTGATCAGTAAAAGAAAAAAATATTTTCATGAACATGATATGTTTATTATGAAAGCTATCGAGTGCTATTTTCTGCAAAAACGCACATCATGCACCAAGAACGCTAAATAAAAAATTATAAAAAATAAATAAAGGTTAAATATATATTTGGTTAATGTTGACTACCAGAACCATTGCTAGCAATATACCTTATCAGGTCGACCTCCACGCGGTTCTCCCTGGAAAACATCGTGAATAATTATTGTGGAATTCGTCCCGATGGACTAACTGACCTGCTTAATCCTCACATATCATCTCTCACTGGTGTCCCGCCAGTGTATACCGATAGCGCAGGCGGCGTAACCATTTCATTACCACCCATAAAAAAATAAAATAAAAAAAAAAGGTATACGTCTTGCAAATATGACGGTGTGTCGTCACCTTTATAATAAATGCTTCAAGTACAATTTTGTATGTAGGTAACATATTCGAATAGAAACAGTTATTTAAATATTTATTTAAATATTTTATTTATTTTTTTATCATCATCATCATATCGCCCGTTAATTGTTCACTACTAAACATAGGCTTCTTTCATTAAGCAATGTTTTGCCAGTAGTTGCCACGCTTGGCAGGCGGATTGACAACCGCATTTAGGTTTTTGAGATGTTTTAAGAGGGATGCTGCTGCCTATCCCTCGCTCTGCCTTAGTCGTCTCTTATGACACCCACGGAAAAGGAAAGGGTGGTATGCCGCTACTGTCCATCTCTCGCCCTCCCTCAGTCGTCTCTTATGACACCTACGGAAAAGTAAGGGGTGGTCTGTTTTATGCCGGGTCCACAGGGTAATTTTTTTTTAAATACTAATTAATTATGTGTCACTAAAGAATTCTCAGGATGTCGTTAGAGCTGTATCAAGTCACGTGACCAGTGTGGTAATAATAATTTTTTAATGGGAATAAAATGGAATGTTAGTTCTGCTTTATCCGTATACGAGTACACTGGCGGGGCACCAGTGAGGTATGATAGGTGAGGATGAAGGCTGGTAAAATGGCTTACAGTGATTAATTCACCAGGAATTAAATCAAATCAAATCATTTATTGCACGAATATGGGTACATACATTAGTTGAAAAAAATAATTACATGTCCGTTATTCCATGTTCTACCATATCGGCATGTACAATATAAAATTATAGTAATAATAACTTATAACAATAAAAATATGTGTCAATAATATGTCAATAATAATAATAAAATGTAAAAAATGTCAATAAAAATAATTAAATTGCATGTGTAATATAACCACAATGTTATAAACTTGTTATAAATCAAGCCAGTGTGGTGAACTAGGCCAGAATCCTCGTCTAACGTAAAGAAGCCCAAGCCCAGCAGTGGGATGTTAATGGTTTTTTCAACCGACTTCAATCAGAAGCAGGTTCTCAAATCGGTTGTATTTTTTTTTTATGTTCGTTACCTCATAACTCCGTCAGTTGTAAACCGATTTGGAAAATTATTTTTTTTATCTGAAAGAATATACTTACAGATTGGTGCTATTGAAATTTTATCAAAACCGATTCAGTAGTTTAGTTTTTAAGTCAAAATAACTGATTTTAATGCAATTAACTCGTTTACCATCAGACGGGCTGTATGGTTGTTTGGCACCTTGGTGGTATAAAAAAAATTAAGAAATAACACAATCTGAATCTTTTTTTTTTATTTGAAAAGACAGTACCTATATCTTTTCATATGAAAAAGGAATTTTCAAATTGATTGATAACCGACGAAGTTATGGGGTAACAAATATAAAAAAAAAATACAACCGAATAGTTTCTCAAACTATTCTGTTTTTGAATGATGTTCGAAATTTAAAAGTTATACTTACATGTAACTAGTTTTATATTCCAGACCAATTATCATATTGAAGACTAGGCAGCATGGTCTCCGACCTTAGCCTGTTCCACAACAGAACAAACGTACTAAAAAAAAAAGTAACTAGTTTTTTACCCGCTGCTTAGTCCGCGTGGATTTCAGTAGTAGGAAAACCAATTACTTAGACTACTTCTAGATGGCGTATTAATAATAAAATAGAATAGAATTAACTGTGTACAGTAAACATTGCTTTGGACTTGACATCAGTATCAACAGTAATAGGTACTCTAAAGGGCATGCAACATAAAACATACCTGCTCCAGTTTTAAAGATAGATCTTCAAAATATTAATATAATACAAATGTGATAAACGCATATAATTTTTGCGTGATACTGGAACGAACATACGGATAGATTGGACAAACAAAAATTCTAAAAAATTATCATTTGTTTTCCTTTGCCTTTATTAAGATCTCTCATATAGTGTTTTTTTTTTAAATATCCCCATATGTACAGACATCGTTTTGTTACAGTTTTAATATATTACTCATTTTAATAGACGCGCCGCGAGACTCCGGTCTCGGACTCGACGCCGCCGCGAAAGTGACGGCTATTATATTACTAGCGACCCGTCCCGGCGTCGCACGCGTGGACATTTTTCCATTTTAAAAAAATGGCCATTAAGACTGCATACGCGACGGAAGCTTAAAAATGGAGTAACTTCTCCCGTTTTCCCAACATTTCAAGTAGCGTGATGAAAAGTATACTATAACCTGCTTAGGAGTATGAAGAATAATTGTACCAAGTTTCGTTAAAATCCGTCCAGTAGTTTTTGTTTCTATAATGAACATACATACAGACAGACAAAAATTTTACTGATTGCATTTTTGGCATCAGTATCGATCACTAATCACCGCCTGATAATTATTTTGGAAATATATTTCATGTACAGAATTGACCTCTCTACAGTGTTATTATAAGTATAGATAGATTAGTAAGTTATCCATTCATTCGGAAACGTGTAAAAATTAGAATTAAAATCATTAAAATGATTTTATTTGAATGTAGATCACTGAGAAGTGCATTATTTCATGTATTTCTGCTTACATAGTAATTGCAACATGTATGTATGTAAATGATGAGTTATGTCATTTCACTTATTTGAATTGGTCTGATTAATTCAAATATTTACCTAGTACCTGGGTATATATTTTTTTATAATGAATGAAAATGGATGTATGTTAGCGGAGGATGCACGTGGCTCAGGAGCGTTCTTTATGGCAGTCTATGGGGAAGGCTGAAGTCCAGCAGTGGACGGATAATGACTGAAATGATGATGAATGATGATAAATGGGTGAAAGATGGAGTGACGACCTCAAATGCATTGAGAGGAATCCGTGGATGCAGGTGGCTCACGACCGTTCCTTATAGCACTCTATGGGGGAGGCCTACGAGGGCTAAACTGGAAATTTTTAACACTGGCTAATTGAAAGCTATATAATAAAAAAAAAAAATTCGAAAAATAAAAGAAAAATTTCGAGGAAAACGTTTTATAGACGCCGAGGAAGCTGTGGCTACGTTTCAGGAGGCCGTCGAAGAGATCCCTAAGGACGAGTGGGCAAAGTGATTTTCTCAGTGGTTCTATCGGATGCAGCGATGTATTGACGTGAATGGACACCATTTTGAAAAGATAAAATAAACGTAAAAACTTGCTAATTTAATCAGTTTTTGATTTTCTAAGAACTTTCAGCTTGACCTTCGTATATCCAACAGTGGACGGATAATGGCTGAAATGATGAATGGGTGAAAATTTTATTTTTGCATTCGGTGAGGTTTAGTCTCGTATTGCTTATGAAATACGAGTATGTATATTCTACGCGAGATACCAGCTGGTTATATGAAATTAATTATATATGAAGCTGCGAAAATTAAGTTTTTTTCATTAGAAAACGATCTATCTGTTTAAGTAATTACAATAGCTGTTATTATATATTATATTTTAAATATATAATCAGGACATAATACATATCTGATATACTACTACATATATCTGATATTTATTGCCGACGTTAATAATAACATATTTATAATTAAATAGGTAAATGTTTGTAGCGATAAAACTGTCTATTGTTTTTTTTTTCTGAGTAATCTACTCTATGTAACTTCTATTTTTGTTTTCTTTTTTTTAAGAAAGACGGCTAGCAAGCACTCGGTTTACCTGATTATCTACGTTATTACCACAACCAATAGAAGCTACAATTCTACGAATACAATTCGACTATGAATAATAAAGAGTATAATTATCTACTTGGAATTATTTTTGACGTTCAAGTAAATATTTATACAGTCGGCACAGTATTGTTTTCATAGCACATAGTATCAATGGTACCAAATAATAAGCGGAAAATCAATCTCGCAACTCACTGATGATAGTAAAAAATGAATGTACGACTATGTACAAGGTTAAAGGACCTAAGAAGCGATCAGTTCACCAGAGCGGTCATGTTCTACCACTCGTGTGTAATGGTGTACAAGAGTGTATTCGTCTTAATTCTATCATTATGTACCTGCCACAGTCAATTGTTGGCTGACAGATTATTCCCGAACTTGGCAGCGTCGACGCGGGAAATAACAAATACTCTTACGAACCATTCGCTTTTCAAATTCCTCACGAAAACCGCCGGTGACGTCTTCGCCGATACAGTTTACAGCATCACCAGAATACCGGTCGCCGTGGTCCGAGCAATCGGCTCTATAGAGGTACCGAGCATCATAAATGTCAGAAATAATGTTGATATGGATCGTATCCTAGCTGAATACGCGTCTGGATTAGCCAACGAAGATGCTACACTCAGCGTTGATAAGCTAATCGTGAAATATGGACATCCAGTGGAAAAACACGAAGTCATTACTGAGGATGGCTATGTCCTGACCATGTTCCGGATACCGGGGAATGGCTCTGTCGTTTTCCTCATGCATGGATTGCTCGGAAGCGCTGATGATTACGTGATAGCAGGCCCAGAGAGTAGTTTAGCTTGCCTGTTAGCTAACGACGGATACGATGTGTGGCTGGGCAACGCTAGAGGCAACAAACATTCGCGTCGGCACATCAGTCTTGCGCCTTCAGAGGCTCTATTTTGGGATTTTTCCTGGCACGAGATAGGCAATTATGATTTACCAGCCATGATCGACTATACTCTGAACACGACCGATAAAAAGTCCTTGCAGTATATCGGTCATTCACAGGGAACAACGAGCTTTTTCGTTATGGGATCTCAGAGGCCGGAGTACAATGCGAAAATCGATCTTATGATTGCTCTATCGCCAGTTTCTTACATGTCACATCAGAGATCGCCACCCGTCAGGCTGATGGCTCCTGGGACGTCCATTATAGACACGACGCTAAAAAGTTTTGGTGTGTACGAGATTCTACCGGATAGTCAAATATTTCGTATTTTAAGAAGATTAATGTGCGGCGTTGGCCCTTTATCACAGGTCTTGTGTAGTAACGCTTTATTATTAACGGTTGGCTTTGGTTTTTCTGAACTGAACGTTACGAATCTGCCGGTGATATATGGGCATGTGCCTTCTGGAGCATCAGTGAAACAGCTTGCTCATTTTGGCCAGGAGATTCTATCGGGGGAGTTCAGGCAATACGATTACGGTCCAAAAGAGAATAAAAGGAAATATGGGAGCGTTACACCACCGAATTATCCAGTGGAGAAGATTTCTGCTCCCGTATCGTTGTTTTACAGCAATGACGACTGGATGTCACATCCTGAAGATGTCGATAAATTATATAAAAGGTTGGTAAACTGTATCGACATATACAAAATACCTCACGAACAGTTCAACCATTTGGATTTCATATGGGCGAAAAATTTTAAAAGTATTATATTTAAAAGAGTAAAGAAACTATTAAAAGCTTTTACTTGAATCGAACAATTTTTAAATGGCTTCAAAAAGGAAGAGTTTCCCAATGGAATTGTGTTTTGTTGATTATTGTGTTGTTGAGTGATATTTTCTTTAATTGATTGTGACTCGATGTTGATGATTATTTTTCACAGTGAAAGGAACCGGTGGATAAATTTTAGCTTGTGTAAAAGTGTAAACATGAGATGAAATACAGAAGTTTTTTATCAACAAGTTTCGAGGAAGTGTTCTATTAGGACTCAAACTGTGTTTTTTTTTTTAAAACAACAAAAGGTATTTTGGGCCATCTTCTGAATTAGTTCTAAATTAGTATGGCAAGATAAAGATTGTGTAGCACAAAAAAACATACTTCAATTGTGATAAAATCACTTATTTTGATCCAAAAACTGAATTACTAATTCGATTTTGATAAAAATTGTATGTGACCAATCTGTAAGTATATCCTTTCAGATCAAAAGAACAATTTTCCAAATCGGTTTAGAACTATCGTAGTTATGACGTAACAGACATAAAAAAATGACTGAGTTGTAAACCTCCTTCTTTATGAAATCGGTTGAAAACAATTTTTAGTTTATGTTTCCTCGATTAATTCGACTGAGACCCGAACCCGGAACCACATTTAGGGACAGCAATTTACATTAGAGCTATTTGGTGCTGCGCTAGGACGTGTGACGGTCATCAGCATTATAATTAGGTATATAACTTAGGTTAACTTAACCATCACGCAAGTAACCTTGCAAAGTTAATAATTTGAGACGAATTAAAAATTAAATTTGCATTAAGTTTTATCATTAGCTGTACAATTTTTTATTTATTCCATTATCATCCATTTAGAAAAAAACATATTCACTAATGAATCAATCACGATGGTTTCCAGGGGGAACCGCGAGGAGGTCGACCTGATAGAGTATATTGCTAGTAATAGGGTGGTTAATCCCCATTACTATTATCCATTTTTCCCCCACCATAACAGCGCTGTTTGATTGCACTTTAACCTCATCGCGCGGTTTTCGTCCACAAGCCAATTCCAAAGTCTTATTTTTTTTTATTTATTTATTATTACCTGCAGTTTACAGATGATTATTAATACACCTAATATCAATTATTCTTAAATAATTACAATTTTATCAAATATCTACTCGTATTTTATAATGGCATTCGTAGGCTACGGTAACCGCTTATCATCAGGTGGGCCGTATGTTTGTTTGCCACCTCAGTGGTATAAATATATATATATATATATATATATATATATATATATATATATATATATATATATATATATATATATATATATATATATAGATTAGATGTATTAATTCCATAAAGTCCAAAATGTAAATAATAACCTTGATTTTAGAGAATGGTGGGAATAATAAGGTTGTTCAATAAGGTCAGTGAAACAAGAAGTAACAGAACGGATGTACTGGTATATAACAATAAAAAAAATTTATCATTCAAACATAAGATTTAAGATTGCACACAAAAAACTACTTTAATTATGGGTAAAACCTGTTATTTTGATTTAAAAACTTAACTACGGAACTGATTTTGGTAATTTTTTATGGGATCAAATTGTATATATCCTTTCAGATAAAAAAAAATCTCTTATTAACTGATAAGGTTATGATGTAACAAACGTAAAAAAACAGAGGGAGACTTTGTACAAAAGTCGATTGCTTGGGTACCTCTGTCCCATTCGTGTTTCTACCGTGAAGCAGTTGTGTTTGCATGACTGTGTATAGGTTTGAAGGGTGGGATATGGCGTGAATTTACTGGGTACAGAGGAATAACACTTGAGTCCTCAGGAATGGCAACGCATGGGGGGTATCATGGGCGAAACAGTATACTCTGTTATGTCCATGGTACTACTCATGTCTATAGGCGACGGTTACCACTTTCCATCAGGTGGGCCGTCAGCTTGTTTGCCATTCTAAGTTGTATAAAAAAACAAAAACACAAGCTAATTAAGAAAAAGAAGGATCTTTTTAAAGTTGGTTGAAAGTAAATGCGTTTAAAGATATTGTTCCACAAAAAACCTACTTCAATTGTGATAAAACCAGTTATTTTGGTTAAAAAACTTAAACTACTAAAACGATTTCGATAAATGTTCTATTTTTTATATTTAATCTGTGAGTATATCCTTTCAGATAAAAAAAAAGAATTTTTTCATATCAATTTACAACTGACGGAGTTATGAGGTAATAAATATTAAAAAAAAAAAATTTAATTGAGAACTTTTCTCTTTTTGAAATCAATTGAAAAAAATACCAAAAGTAACAAATTGTAACACTTTTGAAAATATTTAATTATAAATATATTGTTCATAAATAGGTAGGTACTTAAAGAGCATACTTAAAAACAAGAAATTTGATGCATTACAACATGCAATGCAATTATTAAGCATTGATATTCCTAATACTTGTAGCATTTTTTATTGTGTTGCATTTAGTTGCACTTTGTACCGACCTAGTTGGTAAATCAAAATTGTACCGATCACATAATGCGTTTTTGCATTTTCGTCTTCTAAATTTAATGCAATATTTCTGAATCATCATATCAGCCTTTAACTGTCCACTGCTGAACATAAGCCTTTCCCTTGTTCCCAGTAGTTGTCACGCTTGGCAAGCGGATTGGCAACCGTAGCTTTTTTTACAACTTAAAATGGCAAACAAGCTGACGGCCCACCTGATGCAAAGTGGTAACCGTCGCCTATAAACATGAGTAGTACCATGGACATAACAGAGTATACTTTCATTCACTCATGATAGCCCCCATGCGTTGTCATTCCTGAGGATTCAGGTGTTATTTCTCTATACCCTGTATATTTTCGCCATATCCCACCCTTCAAACCGAACCACAGCCATGCAAACACAATTGCTTCACAGTTGAAACACGAATGGGACAGAGGTACCGAAGCAATTGACTTTTGTACAAAGTAACTAAAACAAACTAACTAAAAAGCTAAAACAACAATTTTTTTTTTAAATCTCGTAAAATCTACTGCACCAAATTAGACGTGGTTTTCATAGTCGTATCCCCGAAGGTCTAACTTAAAATCTGATATATGATTTGTCTTGGTATGTTATATTTTTTTTATATGCAATTTAGAATGACAAACAAGCTGACGGCCCACCTGATGGAAAGTGGTAACCGTCGCCTATACTATTTGAACAGTACCACATAAAAGTGATCTGTTTCATTGGTTTTTCTACGTCTGAAATACAAAATTAATTATTTTCCGACTAATCGTAAAGGCCAGTTAGCCCATCGTGATGAATACACCTGGAATTCAACATGACTATTTCCGAGGGGAACCGCGAGGAGGTCGACCTGACAGGGTGTATTGCTAGCAATGGGACTGGTAGTCCGCGATATTAACAATCCCCCCCCCTGATAAAAGCAGGTCAGATAGCTCATTCTACCAAATTTAACAATTCAATCGCGAGGAGGTCGACCTGATACCCTATCAGGTCGACTATTGCTAGCAATGGGGGTGTTAGTTCCCATTAATAACAATCCTTTTTCCTCCTACCGTCGACTGTTGTCCTAGTGGTGAACGTAACATTTAATATGTACACATTCATATCGGAGACTCTTAAATAATTAGGTTTGTTAAGAGTGTTTACCATCTTCAGAAAATAAACCGAAAAAAATAGTCATAGATTTTAATATCTGTAAAATTTGAATTTATCAATCTTTGGGGTCGGGGCAGTGCCTACTGATAAAGGGAGGAGAGGGGGGGGGGGTGGAAAGAAGAAGGGACTGTTAATAACAGGGACAACAACAACAGTGTTGCTGGCGATATACTTATCACGTTGACTTTTATGCGGCTCCATCTGGGAAGTATCATGATTAATTCTTGTTGAGTTTGTTAGGGTGCTTCCATGCTCACCTATCATCTTTCTGGCGCCTAGCCAACCAATTTATCTAAATATATTTTTATATTTAGCGATTGAATTATATTATTAATTATAAGTAAAAACAGTATGTGATTATTTGAGGCTAACGCCATCTAGAGAATTATATCGTAAAGTTGGCCTTCCAATATATATTTTACGCAATTAGGTGTCAATGCGATTTCTTACAATAAAGGACTCAAGCTCTATCACATGTAATGGGCACTAAAACGATTATAATAATTTAATTTATAATTTATATTATTTATAAATATTATATGTAATAAAATAGTAATTAATCTGAGAACAAAACAAACTAGTCATTATTAACTAATTAATTTCAATAGTTTTCTTATAAAGTGGGTGTTTTTTTTTAATAGGTGATAATGGAATGGTAACCCCACCCGCGCTAACGGTATACACCGGCGGGGCACCAGTGAAGGATGATAGATGAGGACGAAGCAGGTCAGTTAGCCCATCGTGACGAATTCAATAAGAATTGTTCACGATGGTTTCCAGGGGGACCCACGTGGAGGTCGACCTAATAGGGCAAATTGCTAACAATGGGGCTGTCAAACTCCATTGCATAAAGTGGGTGTTGAATTTATAGATTTGCCGCCAATAAACTATTAAAATTTTGCCACTCATTTTCAAACCATGCTCATCAGTCATTCTTCTATCCCAACTTTTATCAATTAAATTGTAATTTTATGATTATAAATAAGTTTTTGGCTATAATTTTACCATTCTAGACTTTAGATTATTCCGCTTATTGGAAAATCTGCATCATATTAGGAACTAAAGATGTTATTAGGTCAATTGCTATGAGAAGAGAAAACTGTTAAATTGCAAGGAAATTAATTTCTTTGATTTTGCCCGCTTTAGTGGAAATACAAATAAAATATATGTTTATCAATTTATCATGTTTATTTCTTCAAAATGAACTTAATATATCTTAATAAATAATGTTAATAACTTTGTATGTGGTATGTGGAAGCATCTCCATAATCTGAAACAAAAAATTTTAAAATAATAAAACTGTTTACTTTTATATAATTTTTTAGATTCCAGTTTTTTCTACAGGTTCTGTGCAGTTAGAAATATCAAGGCCTATTTGTGTATTCTGTTTTTTTTTTTTAACCAAAATTAATATTTTACAAAAAGGAGTAAAAGAACTTTGTCATTTATAAACCAATCAGCAATGACAATGCATGGGGGTATCATGAGCGAAGCAGTATACTGTGTTATGTCCATATTACTGTTCATGTCTATAGGTGATGGTTACCACTTTCCATCAGGTGGGTCGTCAGCTTGCTTGCCATTCGAAGTTGCATAAAAAAATTTGGAATTGTTTTTTTTATTTTTCACACTGGTTCCATAGAAATTATATTAAAATTGGTTTTATATTTTGGTTTTTAAATCAAATAAACTGATTTTGTAAAAATTTAAGTTGGTTTCCTTTGTGTAACAATATCTATTTAAAATATTATTAATATATTATTTTTTTAGTTTTTATGTATTAAACTTGTTTGATAAAAGAATAAATGTATATTAAATAAGGAAAAATACCTTTCACTTTGTGCTGTTTGCATTGATGTAATGATAGAGGATCACCAGCAAGAAAATAGACACTCCAAGAATGTTCGAGAATACAGCCAACTGGATATCTGTGATCATTTTGTTGATTCACCTATAGAATTTAAAAATATTTTATTTATTAACACTATTTCATAAATGCTAACAATTAAAAATATGTACTCAGAAATATTCGCCATTATTATAATAGAGAAAAAAAAACAAAACAGTTGGAAGTACAAATGATTTTATCGCTAATGCAATTTCTATCAGGCAACATTTAGGCTGGACCACATTAACCATGTTTGGGCTTTTAGGCAATGCATATTTCATTTAATATAAAAACTACTATAATATTATTTTTATGATTTTTAATAACTTGACACAAATTATGAAACATTAAAATATGACAATGTAATTTTTAAAAAGAAGCAATAATTTTTTTGTGTGAGTTTGTTAGATACAAATTTTCACATGTTATTTCCATTAAAAGAAATATTCTTGAAAAATAAGCTTTATTGCCTAAACTGTCTAATAGATAATCCGGCCCTGTGTATTTGGAAAGTGAGTAGTGAGATAAAAGTTAAAAAGTAAAGCACTTAGGAATTAAAATTATCCCTAGTTGATATGTCCTTATTAGTCCTTACTAATATTATAAACTTGAATATTTGTTCGTTTGAATTTTTTTATATATTTTGTATATATTATGTGGAATGGAGAAAGGCAGATTATTTATTTTAGAAAGCTGAATATAAAGCCGGCACCCGCTATAGATAATAGCGGACTAGTGTCTACAGAAGTTCAGGGATTATATACATCGTTTTTATTATAAACACTAGTCTCTTTCCCTTTTTTCTTGTTCTGAAGTAGGCAGTAATAAGCGTCTAGTGTAATAAAAACATAATAAAACCATTACATTAGCACGTTATTGTGGAAATACATACATACATAATACATATTATGCGATTTAAAAATAATCAAAACGATTAAAATTAGGGAGTGCTTACCTATTACAAATTATTTAAATACTTTAAATTAATGTATTTAATGTTTTTTTTTTTTGGTTAGCTACAACAAAAAACAATGTAATGCCTTACATTTAATCCACGTCAGCTTTACCGTCATCCGTCATTTAATGTCAAACACATTGTTGAGTAACAAAACAATCATAACTAAAGTACTAGGTTTTTAGAGTCTATACTGTGCTTATACTAACGAAGTAGAAAAATGTTAATACGCATTGCTTAGTTTAATATAAATAAATATAATTTATAATATGCCTTTGTCTAAAAAATTTATATGGATAAGTATAGTAAAAGATATTTAATAAAGTTAAAAAAAAAATACATATTATTTTTTAATTTCAAAGTAAATTAATTATTACATAGTCAGAATGAAAATGTTTTTTTAGTAGAAATGACGCCAAGCCTTAGATAAATAAGAAAAATAAATCGAAGTAAAATATCAGTCAATATTGCCAGGTTGGGTATTTTTTCGAAATTTTAGATAACAAAATTTATTTCGCGAAATTTGCGAAACAGAGAGCAAGAGATGTTATAGAGAGGTAGTGCTGTTTTTGTTTTCGTCACTTACTTTGTGGTTACTTGGTAAAACGTAGTGAATATTAATATAAGTTTGTGATTGAGTAAAGTGAATTAAATCGAATCAATTTAGAGAAAAAAAAATTCACATTTGAGTAAAAATTAAGAATAACATCTGACAACCCTGATGTTAGTTGTCACTGTCAAAATCTTTTATTCACAATTTTCTTTACTTATATCTACTGATTATCTTTTGCTTACTTCTTTTCAACCTGTTATTTTAGATATTTATTAGCTAAACGAAAAGTACTTTTTTATCATTAATTCTAATATACTATTTCTATTCTATATGGATCATTTAATATAAATATTAGAATGTATTTTGCCTCTGTTAGTTCACGTTTGTTGTTGTATGATAGTAACAGTTGGGATTTGAAAAAGTCTTATGGGTGCTACGACGGTGTTTTGAGAGATATATCCTGGAGTGACGATGGAAAATACATTTTGCAGGTAACAGAATTGCTACTTCATGTATTTTATGACTAGCTATTAATTCATAAAAGTTTGTGCGTACATACTCAAAGACACTAAGTGGAAGTAATTTTTTATTGGCGAGATAATTAATAATTGGGTGGGACTACTGTCCATTGTTATAGTTTATGACATCATTTATTGAGATTCATTGTTATATGTAACATTGTTCTTAAGACTTCTGCTACAATTCATCATAATGTTTGTTTTTTTTATTATTTTTTTTTTTTATAGGGAATAGTGCCTATCCTGTTAGGTAAAAGCTTTTTCAGTCTAGTAGAGAATATTTAAACTTACAGACTATATATAAACAAGCTTTGTTTGTAATATTTTTTTTTTCTTAAAGGATTTACATGACATTTTAATTATCTTACTATTTATATTAAAATTATTAAAATAGAAAATTCTCAAAAAACAAGAATTAGAAATGATATAGTAGAAGAAAGTCATACTGTAGTTGTAGTAAGATGAGATATTCCCATGACTGCGCCTACATAAAGATAAAAATGATTTGTATTATAAACACAAATAATCCATGTTTTTCTCAGGTCTTTATTGTAAATTGTCATTGTCTCTGTTTCTTTGGAGAAAATATATAATTTATAAAGTTTTAAACTTTGGTTTGCTCATATTTCTTATACATTTTATTATCTGGGTGATAAAACAAAAGTTGTCTTACTTGTCATCAGTCAATAAATATTAAAAATGTATATGTATTTTGTTATATGACAGTGTATTATAAAAAACCTAAACTCCCTTTAAACCTAAACCTAGACACACTAGTTAATATAAATGGTCTATAAATAACCTCAAAAGCTAATTAGTGTAGATTATTTTTATTTATAGTTACAGATTATAAATCAACAAATTTTGTTGTAATATTTTTTATTTTCTTTTTAAATAACGAAAAATATTTTCCTTAAATATCTCACAGTTTACGAGGTCTGTCCGGAAAGTTCGTATAAAAGTGTTCTGGAATGCGAGAAAGAGGAGTGGGGAGGCCAGGTAAGCGCAGGACCCCTTCCTTATGTCCCTAACAATGCTTCAGTTCTGGTCTGACCGCCGTGCGGTGCGAACTGGCTTGTCACGCCATCTGTGAAGTTACCTCTTAACGAAACCCCGTCGGCATGGAGCCCGCTTCCGTTGAAGAGCAGCGCGTCGTAATCAAGTTTCTCTCGAAACTCGGCAAGAATGGCCGTGAAATTTTTGCCGATCTCAGAACAGTTTATGGGGATGATGCTGTGAAGGAACCAACCGTCCACAAGTGGCTAAAAAGATTCAGAGAGGGCCGAGACAATGTTGATTGTTTTTTTCGATGTTCGGGGGATTGTCCATCAAGAATTCGTCCCTCCAGGCCAGACAGTTGATGGAAAATTCTACGTCGATGTGCTCAGACGCCTCAAAGCTCGTGTGGCACGAGTTCGTCCAGAATTGGCGCGAGAGGGGCGTTGGATTCTTCACCACGACAATGCCCCTGCCCACACCTCTCTTGTTGTCCGTGAGTTTTTGAGTAAAAATTCCATTACGGTGACCGAACACCCCCCCTATTCGCCGGATTTGGCCCCGTGTGACTTCTTCTTGTTCCCAAAAACCAAATTGGTACTTCGGGGGCGGCATTTGGGGGACATAAATGAGATAAAAAAAGCTACGACGGGGCAGCTGAGAAACCTACAACCAGAGGACTTTCAAGGAGCCTTCTCACAGTGGAAACGGCGTTGGCACAAGTGCATTATGTCACAGGGGGAGTACTTTGAAGGGGATAAAATTGATTTACCTGAATAATTGTAAAATAAAATTTTTAAAAAACTTTTATACGTACTTTCCGGACAAACCTCGTATATATATTGATGGGTGAAAATGATATGGTAACCCCGCCTGCGCTAACGGGATACGCTGGTGGAGCAATAGTGAAGGGTGATAGATGAGAATGAAAACAGGCCAGTGAGCCCATCATGATGAATTCATCAAGAATTAACCATGATAGTTTCCAGGGAGAACAGCAAGGAGGTCGACCTGGTTGTATACCCAACCAGGTCGACCTCCTAGCTAGCAATGGGATTCTCAGTCTCCATTACTAACAACCCTCTCCCCCCTCATAGTTTATACTAAAATTATTAATATAGAAATTAAAAAAAAAGCAAGAATTAGATATGGTAGAATGTCACATTTGTTATACTTTTGTTGTGGTAAGGTGAGCTATATCCATAAATAGGATGAAAAGTTTTTATTTATAACACAAACAATGCTTGTTTCCTTGGACCTTTATCGTTCCAGTTTCTATGGAGAAAGTATTTAGTTTTACTGGTTGAACATTCCCTTAAAAAATATTAATGATTTCAGTGTAACCTTTTTTGTATAAGCTGTAGTTTATTTTATTCAACTTGGAATGACCAATAAGCCGGTCTACCTGATGGAAAGTGGTAATCTTTGTCTATAGATATGAATGATACCATGACATACCAGAGTATTCTGTGTTGTTCATAATACCATTCATGCATTGCCATTCCTGAGGACTGTGTTATGCTTGTATACCCTGTAATTTCATTGCCATATCCCAAGCTTGCCACCACTGTCATGCAAACACAATTGCTGTAGTTGTAAATTTTATAGTTATATAAGTACATATTTATAATTCGATTTATTTATTTATTTAATATGTTATTACTATAATATATAATAATGTTTCATTCATTATTTTCAGGTTAATTCTAAAGGCTTAGTAGAAATATTGAGTCCTGCTGAACATGATGTGAGGAGTCTTCAACACATACCTTTAAAAGATACATGGTCAGCTAGCTTCCATCGGGATGGCCACCGAAACATAGCTATAGGAACTAAAAGTGGAAATGTTGTGATATGGGATACTAAGAACAAAACAATAATAAAAACATTCCCAACACCCTCACAACAATACAGTGTAAACTATTTAAGTTATAATGCCAAGAACACGAGCTTAGCAGCTACAACACAGAATGGTGACACAGTTATATATGGTCTCGTTTCTAATATACCTGTGCTAACTGTAAAACTTTCATGTTCTAGAAGTATATCTGCTATGAAATTTCACCATGAATCGCGCTCTCTCCTCGGACTTGCCACTGATGAAGGCCATGTAGTTTTACGTGATATAACAACAAACAAAGATAAAGCATTTTTCGAAAATGTCCATGCATCTCCTGTCAGTGATTTTGCCTTTTCTCTTATTAACAAGGATGTTCTGCTCTCGAGTGGATATGATAAAATTTTGCATGTATACGATATAAGATTACAAAATGTTGTATCCACAATTCGCACTTCCTACACTTTAACATCTTTGGCTATAAATTCGGATAATCTGGTAGCACTCGGCACAAAAACTGGATTAGTTTTAGTTTATGATTTGAGAGATTTAACAAAACCTTTCAATGTTTTGAAAGGACATGAAGAGGAGGTTCGAAGGGTCGCCTTTCAGCCTGCACGTAGAAAGACATTATCTGCAGATATTAGTCTTCGTGAGGACAATGAGGTTACATCACCTCAAAATGTCCAATCACCAGTGAAAACTAGAACGTCAGATATGTTTTTTGTTAGTGATACACCACCGAAAATAAATTTAGATATGTCTGTGCAAGGAGCTGATAATAAAGCTGATTCATTTTTAGTCATGATGGGACTTGATAAATCAAACTTCGAATTGGATGACGACGGCAACAAGTCGGCAGATCACGACAGGAAGAGTGAAAGACACGAGTTAAAATATCGCCAATTAGACAGTGAGAAAAACATAAGTAAAATTTCAACACCACTTAATAGTAAGGCAGCCGAAAACCTTGGATTTCCATCGCCTATAGGCATCACAAATGGTGTGCCAGATGATGGGTGTTGTTCGAACATAAATTTATTGAATGTAAAACAACCGAGCTGTACCATGCAGGGTAATAATTTTGATACAAAAACAGTAGAAGAACTAAAAGACTTTGTAAAATTGACTCTCTCTGATGTCGCAGATGACAACAGAAACTATTTCCTTCACATAATGATGGCGTTAACGAAACAAAAACTATTTTTGGAAAAACAGCTGTCTAATATGAATGAACAAATACAGAATTTGGTACACAATCAAAATGCACTAGTCGATATAAATAGAAAGCTCGCTTTAGAAGTGGATCTTTTGAAGGCTAGACAGAACTCTTTATAATTTATATTGTACGACTGAATTAGAATCTCTAATCATGTGAAAATGTTTTAAAACTTGATAGTTTTTTTAAAATAGTTAATATGGAATGATAAAGTTATGCACACTTGAAATATGTATTTTACCTTCACTGAAATGTAACATTTCAGTGTAGGTAATTTGGAAGTTATATTCTGATGATATGCAAGTTATGAATTGTGATTGTTATTGAGTTAGAATGGAATATTCACAATAATTTATAGGGCTCATCAATGTTAATATAAATAATCATTCCCTAAATATTATAGTGCCAATGTTTAAGAGAAATTATGTATGTACCAGTAAGATTTACTTAGAGCTGTGCCATTTTGCCCCAATTAAATCAGTAAGTAGATAGTAAAAGAAAAAAATCCTAATAACAGTATTTACCTACTATTCTAGTTAAATGTTGCATTTAATTGTATTGTTACTTATGTTTGTTAATAGTTGAGCTGATTTGGTTTCAATAAAGTGATAACTGATGTATTTACATGTAATTAATAGCTTTTATTTTCAGCCGAAGCTTAAGTACAAGAAAGTTCTCAAAGATTTAATTATATTTTTTATTGAAATTGCATTATTAAAAATTTGAATTGAAAATTATATGGCAACCAACCAAAGTGATTGCCAATGACAACACCTACCCTTACAATGATTGAGAGTTCAATAACAGCACAGTACAATGATTTGTATGTCTGTTTGTATTGGTTAAGGTATTTTAATATACATGTGGAAAATATGGGTATTTACAAAAAATTTGTCTTATAAAAAAAAATCCTGAAACCTAATAGCGTTTTATTAAGTTTTATCAAAATTGGGTCCTAGAAAACCTCACAGTACAAAAGATATGAAATGAGAATGTATGTTATATACCTATTATCTCCATTATTATATGAGACTATATTTCTTTTTTATATATATTCCCGTGTCGGTGCCGGCAAAGAATGGACCACCCCTTCTTTTCCTGTGGCTGTCCTAAGAGATGACTAAAGGAATGTGCAGTTGCATCCCTCTTAAAATATTCCCAAAGACCTAACTGCGTTTGCCAATCCGCCTGCTAAGCGTGGCAATTACTGGCAAAATATACAGTCATGAATGGTAAACACCACAAGGAAACGCCCCCCAGTCCCCGGCAGCTCCGCTATTCCTGATCACGGTAGTGGTTACGGTAACGGCGGAGCAGGGGGTGCTAAGAATCCCCGGCAGAGATTTCGCTACCAACTACAACGATTAGACCTGCCAACATAAAACAGCTTTGAGGACCGATGAATAGATTGTGGGACTGGAAAATCTGACTCAGCTGGGCAGCGTTCAGAAAACTACATCACATCTTTTCATCCAAAATACCTCAGAGTTTGAAGACGAAGGTCTTTAACTAGTTGCCAAAAATGATTAATGGAACTAAAACATGGCCCTACACGCGTAACCGTATGCAAAAGATTCAATTTAGTGGGCTATGGAGAGGGCTATGCTTGGAGTCTCTTTGGGTGATAGAATCCGAAACGAGGATATCCGCAAAAAACTAAAGCAACTGACATAGCTCGTAGGATAAGCAAGCTGAAGTGGCAGTAGGCTTATCATATAGATTGAAAAACCAACAAACAATGGGAAGAAAGCTTCTTGAATGGCGACCGTACGGGCAAACGTAGTGTAGGACGACTTCCTACTAGGAGTGACGACCTCATCTGCATTACGGGTAGTCAGTATATGCAGATGGCTCAGGACCGTTCCTTATCGCTGTCTATGGGGGAGGTCTATGTTACTTTTCAATATTTCAAACCTAACTACCTATAGAGTTAGTAGTAGTAGTACCCTATATAGCAGTCCTCTAAGGAAACCATCGTGGTTTATTGTTTTTTTTTTAATGGGTGAAAATGGAATGGTAACCCCACCTGCGCTATCGGTATGCGCTGGCAGGGCACCAGTGAGAGGTGATAAGTGAAGATGAAAGCAGATCAGTTAGCCCATCGTGAAGAATTCCGTGAGAATTAACCACGATGATTTCTAGGGGGAACCGCGTGGAGGTCGACCTGATAGAGTATGTTGCTAGCAATGGAACTTCTAGATCTCATTACTAACAATCCCTTTCCCGCCTGGTTTCGTGGATTCATAACTATAAGCTGACTTCATTATCATTTATTATCCTTCAATTTTATTCTGTCAATGTATTTGGATAGCGTAGGGTTAGTTAAAATTAAATTTTGATTTAATAATGATCTTTATCATAAAAGAAGAATGCTATGTTATTCTTAATCTATGCTTACAACTCATTATTGACATTGACGAATGTTGTCGTTATTTTGACATTGACTGCAAGGTTGACAGTTAGTGGTTTTGTAATTTTTCATATTTTGTTTTCGGTGATTTGATCCGGTTTGTGAGTATTTTGAAAAATAATTGAAAAAAATGGGAGAACTCACTGTTACAAACTTATTTGAGTCTCAAACGATTGTCGCTGACCACAAGGATCTTATTCACGATGTTGCATATGATTTTTATGGCGAACGGATGGCTACTTGTTCTAGTGACCAATACGTTAAGGTTTGTAGGTTATCTTCTGTTAATGTATTCTATCTATATTATCTAGTAATCAAGTTAGATTGTAATTATACAATTTCTCAGGCAATTTTTATTGTTGCATCATAATTTTAGATGTTTATGTATAAACAAAGCTAGTAAAGGAAGTACTTTTAAAAAAATATAAACTATACACTTCTGATTTATTATCTTAAGAAGGATCCTTATCGACTAGTTTTAGCTACTTTACGCTCATCTAATGCATTTTTCCTTAAATTTAATGACAGATAATGTAAATTTCCTGCTACCATGTAGCTCTATAGGTTGCTGTTTTTTGAAAAGTGAGAGATGGTAATGAAGTTATTAGTTTGAGCATCCATAAAAAGCATTGGTTACTGTTACTGAGGTTTTTACATCTCAAATTAGAAATTCAGTAATTAACTACAGCTTTTTTCCATGGGACTGTGTGAGGTTGATTTGATAGGGTATATAGCTAGGGCACTGTTAGTTATTATTTAAAAAATTGCCTTCAATTTTGTATCTAACCTTATCTAGCTACCTAAAGTAAACTAAGGATATGGCAGTGAATTTACAGGGTACAGAGGAATAACACCTGAGTCATCAGGAATGGCAATCCATGGAGGGTATCATGGGCTAAACAGTATACTCTATTAGGTCCATGGTACTGCTCATGTCTATAGGCAACGGTTACCACTTTCCATCAGGTGGGCCGTCAGCATGTTTGCCATTTTAAGTTGCATAATAAAAATAATACTTGATATTTCATGTTTTTATTGTATATGAAAGGAATATGAAACATAATTGACATATTATAAATTTGATAAATGCAACATCTTATCAACAATGTTTGTGGTAAATAAATTTAATTTAAGGTTTGGGACTCTGATGGGAAAGGTGGATGGCGGCTTACTGGCAGTTGGAAGGCACACCATGGTTCTGTGTGGAAAGTGACATGGGCACATCCCGAGTTTGGCCAAGTTCTAGCAACATGCTCGTTTGATCGCACAGCAGCTATTTGGGAGGAAGTTGGTTAGAAAATAATTTAATATTTTATATGTACATTTTGCTCTGTAAATAATAATGCAATTATAATACAATACCTACGAACAATAAAATGCTTAGTCAATTTATCTAATGTAAAATAAGAATTAATTTAGATCATAAAAAATTGTGTTAGAATTTGAAAAATTGTTTACAATTATGATTTTGTTCTGATACAAGTAGGTGTTTCATATTGCAAAGAAAATTTTATAATTCATATAAAAAAAAGAGATTTTGATAAGCTTTTGAGCATTTGCTCAACTTGCAAATCATATACAAGTATGACTTGTATATGATTTTTAGGGTTTTAGTTTAAAATCTTTAAAGAGATTCTTATATGCTTTATCGCAAATTTGTAACTCATCACCATCATTTCAGCCATTATCTATTCATTGCTGAACATAGACCCGAAATAAAAGTGATTTTAATTACTTTCAGGGGACACAAATGCAACAGGTTCTGAAAAAGGTTTACGCACATGGGTAAAAAGATCTAATCTCGTAGACTCAAGGACCTCAGTCACAGATGTCAAATTTGGGCCCAAACACTTAGGATTACTTTTAGTCACATGTTCTGCTGATGGTATAATAAGGTAAGAATAAATAAATATATGTATGACAATGTTGTATGGTAACCCTGCTTAATATGTATATGCTAGTTTGGGGTTTAATAGGTTTGGGGATGTAGTTAGGTCAGTTAGCCCTTTTTAGAGAGCCCATCACAAATAATCTCTTCCCCCTAATGGCAAAGGTTGTGAGTTTGAATTTAGTTGAGACCCAAAAACAATGCATGTGTTGTCATCAATATCTACCTATATCTCTTTGCTTTGTCTGCTTGAATTAGTACATAAAATATCCTGTATGCTAAGTTACAACATAACCTACTTGTAAACTAAATTTCATTCAAATCCATTCAGTAGTTGTTGCATGAAAGTGTAACAAATATTTATCAATCCATCCATCTACACAAACTTTCACATATCTTTTGGGAGACACAATAAAGAATCATCATCATCACTTTCCTGTCCTTATCTCAATTATTATAAGGGGTCGGCGTAATATGTTTTGCCTTTTAGTTTTACGACCGGCCGCCTGCCTGACGTCAACCCTCTTTGGGAAGAAACAATAAAGAGTATTTATCTATTTTTTAATATTAATAAAATAAGAGTATTCTCTATCTCGGTGTTGTCTAGAACCATCCTCTCTTCTATAACTTTTTATTTAAAAAGCTATTATTATAATCTGTAATTACATTGTACTACATTTGTAAACTATTTAGTTGACAATAAAAGTCATTATTAATTTGAGCTTTACATCATTTAATGTATAAGCACATCAATTTAAATTTCTGACTTTGTTGATTATAGTAAATATTGATAAAAAAAAATATATCAGAGTTATGGCAGTAGGCTTGCCTCTTACCAAATTGGGTTCTAATATTTTCGACGACAGTATTAGTTGAGACATGGGTACCCATGCAGGTAACCTAAAGCAAAAGCTCTTTGCAAACTGCCATGAGCTAAAGGTTTATAAATATAGTGTAATAACTAGTTTTCCTTGTTTTAGGATATATGAAGCACCTGATGTGATGAACCTGGCGCAGTGGACGCTGCAGCATGAGATACCTATTAAAGTGTCAATCAGTTGTTTATCGTGGAATCCATCATTATCAAAGTGAGTGTTGAATGGAATGTAGTATATTTTTATTTAATTTATAATGGCAAACAAGCTAACGCTAACTACATGATTTAAAGTGACAATCGTCATCGGCGTATCTAGGGAGGTGCGGTGTGGGCCGTACCCACCCTAGAATTGTCACGTGCTTCCCCACTTGAAAGCAAAGCTTCACAATGGGTATATGATGTTAATGATCTCAGCTGTTAATTGTCAATACATGTCATCATGTTAATGGTGATTGTCAAGACATAGGTCTCCCCCTCCAGTAGGAGGGTTTTGACAGAAGTAGCCACGCTTAGCAGGCGGGTTGGCAACCGCAGTTGGGTTTTAGTGAGGTTTTAAGAGAGCTGTTGCCCATCCCTCAACCATCAAGTTTCTTTAGTCGCCTCTTAAGGTACCCACGGAAAAGGAAGGGGTCCATTTTAAGGCGGGATCACATGGAACAAAGGCATACCAGAGGGAGACTTTGTACAAAAATCATCTGCCTAGATACCTCGGTCCCATCTATTAAAGGGGTTACAGAAATGTACTTATTACGATTATTTTCTATTTTGTATTATTAAAAAATACATACATACTAACAAAAACAGGAGATTGTTTATTTTTAACAAAATACTTTGTATGATGTCCACTTAGTGTGACGTGTTTGTTATTTCCCTACGATGTCATTATAAACGGATTCCACTGTATGTCTTACAGTAGTCATTAGCATTAGCTCATACTACTCTACTTAATCTGAGAATAGATGGCGTTGTTTATATAATATTATGTTGAGAAATAATATATTAATTACAGAGTGAACCCCCCAATGCTTGCAGTGGGCAGCGACGAGCCGAACACGACCAACGCGGTCGCCAGCGTGCAAACGGACAAGACCACCTCGTGCAACGGGAAAGTCTTCATTTATGAGTTGGTGATATTATATATACGTACATTTAGGGTTACCATCTATAAATTTATTATACTAGAATCAGATGCAAAACCATGGTATTTTGTCAGGATAGGTAGTCAAAAGAGAACTAACGTAAATATGACTATTCATAGATCAGTGATGGTGTTTATGTATTTTTTTTTTAATAGATGATATTGAAATGGCAACCCCGCCCGTGCTAACGGTATACACTGGCGGGGTACCAGTGAGGCATGACAGATGAGAATGAAAAGCCAGGTCTATTAGTCCATTGTCCATACACCTGGAATTCAGCACAATGGTTTCCAGGGGGACCACGTGGAGATCGACCTGATAGAGTATATTACTAGTAACGGGAGTGGTAGCCCGCATTTCTAACGATCTGACAACTAACGATCTTTTACAAATTACGATCCATAAATACAAAATTACATAATATATAAATTAACATCCTCACGATGGACTAAGTGACCCACTTTCATCCTCACCTATTATTTCGATACATTGATAGTGCGCGCAGTTACTGTTCCAGTTTCATCCATAATAATATCGTTGTTACAGGTACAGCGACGCGTCGCGGCGGTGGACTCGAACCGACTGCCTGTCGTCAGTGCAGGAGCCCGTCAACGATATAGCGTTCGCGCCCAACCTCGGCCGCTCATTCCACCTGCTCGCAGTCGCAACCAAAGATGTCAGAATCATTAAAATTGAACCGCTGCCGTGAGTATCTTTGATATTGGATAACTATATGAAAGCGGGGGGAAAGGGATTGTTAGTAATGGAGACTGAGAATCCTATTGCTAGCAATATACCCAACCAGGTCGACCTCCTCGCGGTTCTCCCTGGAAGCCATCATGGTTAATTCCTGATGAATTCGTCATGATGGGCTAACTGGTCTGTTTTCATTCTCATCTATCACCCTTCACTGGTGCTCCGCCAACGTATCCCGTTAGCGCAGGCGGGGTTACCATACCATTTTCACACAGCAAAAAAAAAACTATATGAAAGCAGGTATGTATGTAGGTACTATTTACCTGCAAAGGTTTTTCATCGCTTCAAGTCCCGATTGTGTATTTAAAATATGTGTAAACAATGCGAAAGTTTAAAATTATCCACTACATGGAAAGTGCCAAAAACCGTGGGCGTTTTTAAGTCCCCTTTTTAAGTGCCCCATTGATGGGCAAAGGTTTTCCCCATTCAAAATTTCATCAAAGTCGAAGTTGTTATATCGTTGTGGTCTCTCACGTGGTTGTTGTCCATTTAGTTCGTAAATATACAGTGGTGGGGGCAAAGGGATTGTTAGTAATGGAGACTGAAAATCCCATTACTAGCAATATACCCAACCAGGTCGACCTCCTCGCGGTTCTCCCTGGAAACTATCATGGTTAATTCCGGATGAATGCTTCATGATGGGCTAACTGGCCTGTTTTCATTCTCATATCCCCCTCTTATATTCTCATATCACCCTTCACTGGTGCTCCGCCAGCGTATCCCGTTAGCGCAGGCGGTGTTACCATACCATTTTCACTCATCAAAAAAAAATACAGTGGTGCCTCGACATTCGTTCCGTAACCTTGATCGTATGTCAAATTGCTCGTATTTCAAAGCAATTTTCTCCATTGAAATTAATTAAAATGCCATTATTTCGTACTCCCATAAAACCATTGTTTTTGTTAAGTGTAAGTCTGAGGTGGGAGAAACCGTTAGATACCAACATCCACCCCGCATGTTGGGCTCGTGTGCAGCGGTGTTGTGTGCGATTCCTCGTATCTCAAATCTTGCTCTCATTTGCAAAGCAAAATATCGCTCGCTCGGCGGCTCGTATCTTAAAATACTTGTGTATACTCCGTTATGTCCATGGTACTGCTCATGTCTATAGGCGACGGTTACCACTTTCTATCAGGTGGGCCGTCAGCTTGTTTGCCATTCTAAGTTGTATAAAAAAAAAAAAATTAAGGGTGTATATCGAGGTATCATTGTAATAATTTACAAATATGAATTATGCATAAAATTTATCGGTCACAAAAAAGAAATCCTGAAAATCGGTACAGAATTGGCGACGTAATCGTCACGAGGATTATAGTTAAAAATTTGTTAATTCATCATCATTCTTGTTCATCAGCGAGTCATCGAACAGCAACGGGTCCAGCGCGCGGTTCAAGACGGAGGTGATGGCGGCGTTCGAGGAGCACTACTCGTGCGTGTGGCGCGTCTCGTGGAACGTCACCGGCTCCCTGCTCGCCTCCTCCGGCGACGACTGCTGCGTCAGGCTGTGGAAGAGTCAGTACAAGCATAGTGTTTGTTTACAGGCCCGTACATAGACTCCCGGGGGGAAAGGAATTGCTAGTAGTGGGATCTAGTAAACCCCATTGCTAGTAATAACCTCCACGCTGATCTCCCAGGAAACCATCGCGGTTGATTCTTAAATTCGTCGTAATAGACCAATTGACCTGCTTTCATTGTCACCTATCATAGCTGGTGCTCCGCCAGCGTATGATGACAGCACAGACATTGCTACCATTCCATTTCCACCTATCTGGCGTTTCTGAGCAAAGTTTTGACGGCGCCCTCCTCCGGATAGTGAGACTAAAGGGAGACTTTGTACAAAAGTCGTTTGATTGGGCACCTCTGTTCCAATCTTGTTTCTACCGGGAAGCAGTTATGTTTGCATAACCGTGTTTCGGTTTGAGCGGTGGGGTATGACAGTGAATTGACAGGGTACAGAAGAATAACACCTCAGGAATGGCAATGCATGGGGGGATCATGACACCTCACCCCTAAAGCTGACACTGTTATTTCTTAATATTGTCCAAGTGCAATTAATAATTTGTTTGGGTTAAAACTTGCAATTTGAATTAGAACCATATAATTTTGTTGAACAAACGATTGGCTGAAATTTTTTGCATACGACTTTAATTCCGGTGATAATACGATACAATATACTCAGCATTGTAATATTTTCAAAATGGTCGCAGCTACAAAATGGCGTATTGTGTATATTTTGTCAACCGCTGTATAGATATCAAATGAATGAAGAATACATAATGATAAAATAAATGAATTTTTTTAAAATGGCTGCAGCTACAAGATGGCGGATTACAATTTTTTTTTAAACTCACCTATTTTTTAATTGCAGTGCAATACCTCAACCAGTGGAAGTGCGTAGCAGTATTCAAGAACGAGACGTTAGCGGGAGACTCGCCCGCGCAACCGCGGCCGCATACCACCTACATGCGGATGGCGACTATGGCCAACCCGTCACATATGCCTTTTCACTGATCACAACAGACCTCTACTGATCACAAAAGATCTTTACTGATCACAAAAGACCTTTACTGATCACAAATGGCCTCTACTGATCACAAAAGACCTTTACTAATCACAAATGGTCTCTAGTGATCACAAAAGACCTTTATTAATCACAAATGGTCTCTAGTGATCAGAAAAGACCAAAATGATCACAAATGGCCCCTACTGATCACAAATGGCCTTTTTTATCACAAATAGTCTTTTTGATCACAAAAGAACTGTACTGATCATAAAAGACCTTTACTCACATCACATTAAACTGACTAACTACTACTGATTAAAAATGGCCTCTTCTGATTTCTTCTGAGCCTAGTCTTATTGATCATCACTGATCACTACTGCTCACCATTGGCCACTACTGATCGCGACTGATCACCGCCACAGCCCGCCTTCCATTGTATAGTAAGTCGCATTTATGTACAATTATGTTTGAATATCAATAAAATGTTTATTTTATATTATTCTTTCTATTCGCTATCTATTGACGATTTCGAATAGCAAACAAGCTGACTGTCTACCAGATGGTAAACGATATCCCTCGTTTATAGACAGATATATGGACTTGGTAGAATATATTGCTTGCATTGGTATTTGGCACTAAGATGTTGTACCAATGTTATTGACTAATATATATACTCCCTCGTGGTCCCAACATGGAATGGATCACCCCTTCTTTTCCGTGGGAGTCGTAAGAGGTTACTATTGAACTAGGGATGGGCAGCAGCGTCCCTCTTAAAACATCACCAAAGCCTAACTGCGGTTATCAATCTGCCTGTCAAGTGTGGAGAGGGAGACTTTGTACAAAAGTCGATTACTTGGCTACCTCTGTCCCATTCGTGTTTCAACCGTAAAGCAGTTGTATATCCGTAATAAATGTAGGAAAGACAACAATGATGAATTTTAATAACTTTAAAAATACTTCAATTAATATACATATAAATGAACAAATTATAAATAATGCAAATTGTGTGACATTTCTAGGATTAACAATAAATTCTAAATTGACATGGAAAGAACAAATAGAAAAGGTATGTGCAAAGATTAAAAGATTCCCTTTTGCACTCTACAAATTAACCAAGATAGCCAATAAAAATACTGCTATTACAGCATATTTTTCATATGTTGAATCCATGATTAGATATGGATTGCTACTTTGGGGTAATGGCGTTGATGTTGAGAAAATTCTAGTCGCGCAAAAAAGTTGCATACGTGCTATATGTAATATTGCACCTGATGTTTCTTGTAGGCCTTATTTTAAGTCTCTAAATATATTACCTGTTCCCAGTCTGTATATACTTGAAGCGGGTATATTTGTTAAATTGAATAAGCACATGTTTACAGAAGCAAAAGAGCAAATACAAAGAAGCGCAAGATACCCTAAAAAACTAGTGACCAATACAATTCCTAAAACTAGCCGTTTATTAAGAAATTCCTATATGATGTGTTTGAAAATCTTTAACAATATATCTACGGATATAAAGGAACTTCCATTAAATAAATTTAAAATTGTGTTACGTAAATGGTTACTTAGCAAAAGTTTTTACTCTGTTGACGAATTTTTCAAGAAAGAATAGATAAATATCTAATATAGTTGTCGATGCATAAATTAAATTAATCAATTCCTGTCAAAATGTGACATTTGCATGCTATTCTGTAATGGCTAAATAGGCACGAAACTTTATGTAATGTAAGACCACCGATACCTACCCTATTTAAAGCAAATAAATTTATTATTATTATTATATTGAATTGCTTATTTCTCAGCTTTTAGCGCTGGTAATTATACTACACTTACGGGTACGTGACCAAGTAAGTGCAGTGTGTATGTTTGAATGGAAGGTTATGTTATTATTATTATTGTGTTTGCATGGCTGTGTTTCGGTTTGAAGGGTGGGATATGGCGTGAATTTACTGGGTACAGAGGAATAACATCCGAGTCCTCTGGAATGGCAACGCATGGGGGGTACCATGGGCGAAACAGTATACTCTGTTATGTCTATGGTACTGCTCATGTCTATAGGCGACGGTTACCATTTTCCATCAGGTGGACCGTCAGCTTGTTTGCCATTCTAAGTTGTATAAAAAAAATACTGGCAAAACCCCCTTACGGGGAGGTCTGTGTTTAGCAGTGGGCAGTTAATAGCTAGTATAAGACATAAGCTGGTAATTTTTTATTTTTTTTTATTTTAAAAGATATTATAAAATCGCACCCATTTAGTACAAGATTGTATATTTTTAAATTGGATGCTCATGTACAAGCTATTACTATGCATGTATACATTCTAACATGTTCATTTGAATGAATGAATGGTTTATTTTCACAAAAGGTAATAAAAAGTAACAAGTTGAGGTACAATTAATCATGTGAGACCAATTTTGTGAGAGACAAGTCACCAGTGAATTAAATCGGTTATAACATTTGAATGAATGACTGAGTATATTTGTAATATGCAATATAGGGAATAAGCAAGACAATAAATGTAACGATACAGTTGTATAAGTACAGTAAAGGTAAGGATATTTAATAAAAAATATCTCCATTAAATCGATTCGATTTAAGAGCAATGGATGTTCTTAAACTATTATGAATATAACATTCAGCAGTTTCGGTGACATAGATTAAAATTGATTATTTCAATAGGTTTCATATGAAAATTGTTAGTAATCGTATTATAAAACCCAGCGTAATCACATTCAAGAAGACTTTCCATTCGTCAATAAAATACTGTCATTTAAAAACAATACAACATTCTATTTTAAGAAGGTCTACAGTACCTAAAATTTAAAAATAAACATATAAATACCAAAATCCGTCCAAACGTCGTTCAGTAGATAATCGTGCATTAACGTAACGTTTTTTATTCGCTTACAATTACAAATTAGGTAACAAAAAAAATATATAATTTAAACAAAAAATAAGTTCCAAAACGTGACGTCATTTCATTGGGGCGGTTCTTCTTAGCCGTTGCATGTGGGGCGTGTCTTTACTGGACTTCGAAGAGTACCAGCCCACCTGTAAAATAGTACAACTATAGGTCACGTTCAGGGTTTGATTTAGCATTTATGTCGTTTCAGGCAAAAATGGACATTTGCCTCTCCGGGCAAAATGGATTATTTGCCTTTGCGGGCAAAATGAATATTAGCCTCCGCGGGTGTAATTGATTATTTGCCTCTAAGGCCAAAATATTTGCCTTTCCGGGCAAAATGAATATTTGCTTTTGGGGCAAAATAAATATTTGCCTCTGGGGGCAAAATGAATATTTGCCGCACTTAATAATGGATGCCCAATGTCCATGTTAACTCGCAGTGAACTTGTTTTGCCGGACATTTACTGCTGGTGCTTCTAGCCATGGCTCATTTTTTATACTGCTGGCACCGAGGCCTACAAACAACTGCATTATGGACATTACAGAATACACTGGAATACCCGAGCTACACCTAATGCGTTGGCCTATCTGACAACTAAGGTAATACGCCTCTGTACCCTGTTATTTCACTGGCATATCCTACTTTTCAAACTGAAACACAGCCATATTTTTTTTTAGGCAACTTAGAATGGCAAACAAGCTGACGGCCCATCTGATGGAAAGTGATAACAGTACCATGAACATAACAGTGTATACTGTTTCACCCATGATACCCCTCATGCGTTGCCATTCTTGAGGACTCAGGTGTACACAGGAATACCTTGTAAATTCACTGTCATTGTTAATTAAATAATTAAATTGCGACAGTAACACGAATGGAACAGATATACATACAGTGTTTACGACTTTTGTACAAAGCCTCTCTGTATATTAAAGTTGTAAAATTATTGAAATCAAATAAAATATTTGTTACATACCGGCATTGCTCGTTCGCTCTTACACTGGCTATTTGTTGACGAATGTGGGCTAACGATGTTCCTGGAATAAATGGTATTGTGTAAATCAGAGCTATCCAAAGAGCACGGCTCGCGGGCCGTATGCGGCCCCCGGCTTATATTTATGCGGCCCTTGGCATGTTCTTGACTTACCAGAAATACGCAAATTTTCCTTTTATGTAATTATTTTGGAAAAACAATTTGTTTTTTTTTTTCTAAAAATCAAAATGTTGGAAATAATCAGTACATCCCTTCTCTAGTTTTTTATTGTACTAGCAACACTTCGCTCCGCTGCTAATTTTCTTTTTAGTACATGTGTTCAAATCAACTCCGGTTTTAAACGACTTATAATTGGGTTTCAGTGTATCTGTATGTATATAAAATTAAACACAGTTTACAATTAAATAGTTTGTTTATTGCGCTCTGCTATAATAAGATCGAACAGGTTATGGGCCCAGGTAACCCCTTGGTGAATATTATGGTCAAAGTTATGTCCTGATTGTTTCTAGCTCATCAAATTTCGTGCACGGCGCTTTTTACCTAAGCATTTGATACCCATGAGGTGTTTAATAAACTCATAAATGACTGGACATTAACAATAGGGTTGATTCTGGAGCCATATTTCTTTAATCATCATCATGATATCAGCCTTTAACTGTCCACTGCTGAACATATGCCTTCCCTTGGGGGAGGGAGGGTTGCCAGTAGTTGCCACGCTTGGCAGACGGATTGGCAATAGCAATTAGACTTTTGAGATGTTTTAAGAGGGACGCAGTTGCTCGTCCCTCGTTCTCCCCTAGTCGCCTTTTACGACACTCATTGGAAAAGGAGGGGGTGGCCTATTTTATGCCGGGAAAACATGGCCATTTCTCTAAATCAATGTTTAAAATTCAAATTTCAATTTGATATCACCACACATATACCATTTTTGTTCTAACCAATATTGAACTAAATTTCTATTAGATTAAAGTTTAGTTTATGATGACCCATAAAAAGTAATTTTATGGAACTATCAAATAATTGTATAATTCGATTCCAATTCCGGTACATTTCAATAAAGTCTTTCCAATGACCTAGGTCTACTGAGCTTCCTTCATAAGAGTGGATCTTTGCCTACAGTTGCCACGCTTGGAAAGCGGATTGACAACCGCAGTTAGGCTTTGGCGATATTTTAAGAGAAGAGGTACGTAGCTACCCATCTCTCGACCATTAAGTTACCTTAGTTACCTCATACGACTTCCACGGGAAAGGAAGGGGTGGCCCATTCTATGCCGTAACCACACGGCATAAACATTACACAAATGTTTTTTCTTTAATGGATGAAGAAGGAACGGTGCACGTTTTGCTAACGGTTTACAATAGCGGAAGATCAGTAGCAACAAACGTTTCTATTTCGTAAGTCGAGCAAGTGAACCCATTATTTGGTATAATACCAAAAAGAAATAAGACACAATGAGGATTCCTTGGGCCTAAATTCACTTTGATATGACAGAGAATAAACCGTATAGGAAGTTGATTACCCTAAAGATGCTCTCTTGATAGTCGTAGCGTTATTTTGAAGTAGTATCCGCGCCGAGGAAGTGTTGACCACGCCGGTTGCACTCCAGCTAAATGGAATACAATAATTATCAGTATTAAGAACTAGCCGTTGTATGAATTTTTTAATTTTAATTTTTCGGGGCAAAAACTATCTTCAAGTTGACCCGTGATACCAACAGTTTCGTTTTATCTGAATTCATCCATCTTACAAACATATCTTCGTTTTCTTAATTAATACAGTTTGAAGAGAATTGTAAGGTCAAGTAGTTTGGAATAGTTGGTTCGAAGGTAATAGATCGATCCAATAGATTATATATATATTCAATGGAAGTAAAGCCTCTTTAATAAAACTGTCGATAAATACATTTCTGCTAATACTAGTAAAAAGAACAAGACACGAACGTTGCTCATGCATGTGTAAGCGACAATATATCTACCGACAAATTCGTATGCTACTCGTCTAGGGGGCTGGCTACGCATTATGTTAGTAATCGACTAACTAAAGTTAGGATTTTTAGCTTCAGTTTTTTCTAGACTTCAGAGTGGTTTGAAGTCGTTGTTCAAATATGCATACCCTGATACTGGTTTAGTTAAATGTTTTAATCTTTAAACTTAGGTGGTCTTACCTTGGTAAGCCATCGCCGGCTCTCCTATAGAATTCTGTTCGCTTCACATCACTCGTCCGGCTTTGGCAACTGTTCAGTCTCACAAGTCGCTCTTGCTCCAAATTGACCTTCCTCACGCACGACGATTTAGTGTATCTACTTCCATTTTTAGCGTCATTCAAGTCTATATTGGAATGTTCGGTTATACTTGGGAGTCTAGGGTCAAAACCACAATCTCCGCTGTCGTACACCCTATAAATAGGTTTTTTCATTCCGTAAGAACTGCTTAATGGTCTACTGTTGGAGACTCTAGGACTAGTCGGCTCGTTTCTCTTTGTTAACTTGATCTGATCCTGTTTTACAAACTTCGAAATTGGAACTTGCGATAAGGTTGTGACGGTTGAGATTCGGTTGATTGCAGTATTAGATTTTTGGACCAACTGATTGGATATATCTGTTTGTTTTGCTTGAGGCTTGAATTTTGGTAGTCCATTATAGATTATGTTTTTAGAAGGCGATGTGCTGATAAGAGGAGAAAGTTTGCTACTAGAAGACGCTGTTGTCTCTGCGAGATGCTGAACTAATTCTTTAGCTTGGTACGCTGGTGGGGTGATGGGCCTGGGCTCTAGGGTATTGGTAGACCATAGCAGATCTGTGCCCGGTGTAGTCTGTGCTTGGTGTAGATGCATTTTGATGTTGTAAATACCGGCGATGGGACCGAAAGGGTCTGCTTTGATCTCTGCAACCACATCTATGATGCTTTGTCCACAGAGCTCTGATATTTGTTTGTATATCTGTGATTATAAAATGGAAGAAGTAAAAGTTATTAAACTAGGATAAATCTCATCAAGTGGCACCCGATTCTCTCTGCTTCCCCGGTAAGAGGGGCTGGACGATAAAATTTTACTGAATTATTGTATCTAATAATATGGAGCCAGTAATAGTTTTGATGATAGTGGCAGAATGCAAATAAAGATACTTGATTTATGAAGTACTCGTAAATTAATTCCTATTAAAATTTACATAAAGTTTTTATAAGTATTTTTAAACGAGAAGAATATATAATAATAGTCTACTAGGGCGGTCTTAGGCCATACAGGAATCTTATACAGATAGGGTCTTCACCAAGTCAAGAATACAAGTTTGAATATACTTAAAAACTATGACGTTGGTATTTCGAGACTCAAGTCTGTTAAGCCCGGAACCTGGTTTTGTGCCTTATTTGCCTTAAAAACAATTTTGTCTATGAGCGTTGGCTCTTAAAGAAACTTAAATGAAGAAAGGCCGACTTACTTCTCTATTGACTTTGGGATCTATAGAGCCGAAGGGATGGATCTTCATCCTCATACCGGGTCGTTTGATCCAACGGTGTCTCGATGCTTCCTCGATTTTCATACGTTGCTCCACTTTTGGCTCCAACAATTGTTGAATAAACGTTTTGCATTCTGTAACAAATAAGTAACATCTAAATAAATTGGTAGATTTTGCTCTGCAAAAAAACTTGCGGTTTCAGTCGTGGCAAAATTAATAATGACTGATAATCTCAATATTGTTATTTTAAAACAACCTTTAGGTTTTAACCTGCAGGATACCAAGCTCCTCGTCAAGTTACAATAGATGCAGTTACAATAACTGCATCTGTTGTAGTAATGGGTCAGAATATAGTCACAATGAATAAGATATATGAATGAATGTAGATACATATTGATCAGATTCAGACGATATAGCAAGAAGATGAATATGAATTGTTAACGAATTCTATTTTGACTTGTCCCAGAAATTATTAATAAAAACCTCTTCATAGTGTCGTGGGTTTCTTAAATTTTCAATTTAATCAAATTCCTTCTGGATTACAATTAAGTTACAATAATATAATACGCGTTGGTGGTAGACAGAGAATCTCCGTAAGTTATAAAGTTTGCAAGTACCTGTAGAGGCGCAGGCAAGTGCAACGCGTTGTTTCCTGCAGAACCCTCGCGAGATGGCGGCGCGCAGTAGCGGCCGTGACTTGTCCTCCGCGCCTGCCGGCCCATCCGCCCCCGTGAACGGCAGCCCGCCCGTCACCATTCCGTACACTATCACCCCTCTGAAAAGAATGCACTCTTTGCTTGTGCCGATGGGGAAGTTTAATTGTATATTCGCACCAGCTTTTAAGCTGCTATTTCTTACGCGCAGATTTCAGAAATAGTATAATCAATGAGATAAACCATTTTTAGATGGAATATTGAGATAAAAGATTTATCATATTTTAAGTTAGACCTTCAGGAACACCACTGTTAAAACCACATCCAAATTGGTGCAGTAGTTTTTGCGACATCTCGGAATGGTAATCCAGAATTCCAGAAGGAACCATTTTGGATTTTTTTTTAATCATCCTCACTGATTTCTGTTGCTTAAGGCGGCAGATTTGCATACATTTATGTTTGTTATGCAATGCATATTATGCAGGTTTTGGACGAAAACTTATTGCGTCCTTATAAGCGTAGTTCTTGCATGGATCTAATTTGAAGGTGATAAATGCGACAGGTTATTGGCGCTATTTTGAGTAAAATGGGTCTGTTTTACGATGCAACATGTTCTAACGGAGAAAGGCAAAAGAAATACGTGTATACAGATATGTATCTATATATCTATACACGCTTACTTAGCGATTTTCGCAGCCCATAAAGGCTTGCATTCTCAAATGTGAAGATGTCATGATTATGTTTCCACAGAGTATGTATACATAGTACCTTTTTAATTACTACATTTCACATGTAGCTAAAGATCTACTTATGTTTTTGTAATATCAGTTTAAAGAACGCACATGCTCCAAAGATCAACTTCTGGCCCGTACCGGCGTCCGTCCAAGAACAACTCCGGCGCCGCGTACTCCAGCGAGCCGCAGGGCGTCCGTAGAGCTCCGCCGGCACTCCACACGTTTGACAGGCCAAAATCTAAATATGCAGTAGAGATATTTGAGTGACAAAGATATTATATTAAAAAAAAATGGTGTTAACAGGTAACTCCTTCTAAAGAAAGAAGGAAAGAGATTGTTAATAGTAAGGTCAAATAGTCCGATCACTAGCAATATACCCTGTCAGGTCGACATCCACGTGGTTCCCCCTAGAAACCATCGTGGTTAATTCTAGTTGAATTCGTTGGGATGGGGTAACTGACCTGCTTCATCTTCACTTATCATCTCCCACTGGTGTCCCACCAGTGCATACCGATAGCGCAAGCGAGGTTGCCATTTCATTATCAGCCATAAAAAAAACCGTGTAATATGCATTTTTTATAATTTATTTATCGATTCGTTGTTTAAATGTACACGTAAGGTAGCGTTTTGTTTTGTGGTCGACTTAAACAGAAGATTATTAAGGAATTGTTTTAGGAACTGTTGAGGGTATTTTTGAGGATATCATGCACTTGAATGAATGAATTTTTTTTTATACAACTTAGAATGGCAAACAAGCTGACGGCCCACCTGATGGAAAGTGGTAACCGTCGCCTATAGACATGAGCAGTACTATGGACATAACAGAGTATACTGTTTCGCCTATGATACCCCCCATGCGTTGCCATTCCTGAGGACTCAGGTGTTATTCCTCTGTACCCTGTAAATTCATATTTCACCCTTCAAACCGAAACACAGTTGGGCAAACACAACTGCTTCACGGTTGAAACACAAATGGGAATGAGGTACCCAAGCAAACGGCTTTTGTACAAAGTCTCCCTCTGGTAAATAATCTGCAACCAGTAGGTATGTACATACATACTCGAATGTTATATTAATGAATTTGTATTACGCTCGAGGTGTTTTATACTCACCGACAATTTTGATGTATTGTTTAGAACTGTCCAGCATTATATTCTCCATTTTGAGGTCACTGAAAATTGATAATTTTTAGGTATTTCATTTCACTTCAATAGGGAAACATACAATACCTCAAACGTATAAATAGTAAACACAGCCATGACATAAATCAGTGAAGTTTTCGCAATAAACCAATCAAATAAACGAGAGCTGATGATTAACATAAAAAAATATACATCGCAATACAAAAAAAAAAAAAAGAAAAGTAATATAAAAATAACAATTAATAATTTAAAAAATATTTTTTCCTCTCTAATCGAACGGAGTTTGCCCGAAGTTCCTCTCTAACGTGTTTTTTTTATATAGGTTTAGAACTTCTCTGAATACGTCTAAAGAGAGGAACTGCTGATTATATATATATATATATATATATATATATATATATATATATATATATAAAGTATTACTCATGTAATTCATGTGTGAAAAAAGTATACAAAATAACGTATTGTTTCTACAATTTACCAGGGGACACCTTATACTAACATCACTCAACAGAAAAGGTGATTCAATAAGATTATTTATAATTTTGTATACAAATATTTTATCGCTCTCAGATATCAGATAATTTATTTATTTACTAGCTTTTATCCACGACAGCTCCATTACTAATAACATTGTAACGCGGGCCTCTAAAACTGCCACCGCGCAACGGCCGCGAGTAATTCCCCTTTCCGATCGTCCTTCCCGCACGCGTCGACCTCCCGTGCGCTACCGTTAGCTTAGCGGCGCCACCTCTAGCGCAGTTACGAACCGGCTCTTAGGGTTTCTTTACACGACGTACTGACTCGCGCGCTTATGCCAGTAATTTAAATATAACTCCGTTTCGATAGTAAACGTATGTTGTGAAACTTATGGTGTTTCCATTCGATGCCTACACACTATAATATATCCTATCAGGTCGATCTCCACGCAGTTCCCACTGGAAACTATCTTATTAAATTCTCGTCGATTTCATCACGATATCCTAACAATTTTATTTTTATTCTCACATATTATTACTCACTGGTGGCCCGCCAGGGTATACCGATAGCGCAGGCGGGGTTACTATTCCATTTTCACCTATCAAAACCATTCCGTCTTCAATAATAAAAATAAATATCTTCTCATGTCGTATCCGGTAGATGAGGTATAGGATGCGTGGTTACCGGTGCACGACGCCGCGCGCGTGCATGTGCCGCACGGCGGACACGAGCTGCGCCGCCAGGGGGCGCGCGCGGCCCTCGGGCAGCCCGCCGGGCCCGCGGCCGCGCGCGCCCAGCACCAGCGCGCACAGGTCGCCGCCGCCCGCCGCCTCCATCGCCACGTACAGCCGCGGACCGTGCTATACCGTACCGGAGAGGGGAAAGGGATTGTTATGTAATGAGGTTTAATAACCACATTGCGGGAGGAAAGGGATTGTTAGTGATGGAGACTGAGAATCCCATTGCTAGCAATATACCCAACCAGGTCGACTTCCTCGCGATTCTCTCTGGAAACTATCATGGTTAATTTCTGATGAATTCATCATGGTGGGCTAACTGAACTGTTTTCATTCTCATCTATCACACTTCACTGGTGCTCCGCCAGCGTATCCCGTTAGCGCAGGCGGGGTTACCATACCATTTTCACCCATCAAAAAAAAATAACCACATTGCTATCTATATACCCTCTTAGGTCGACCTTCACGCGGTTCCCCTTGAACACCATCACAGTTAATTCTTGACGAATTCATCATGGTGAGCTAACTGAACTGCATTTATTCTTATCTGTCATCCCTCACTGTTGCTTCGTCAGTGTATACCGATAGCGCGGGCAGAGTTACCATTCCATTTTCATCCATTAAAAAGAAACATGCCAGAGATTTTTTTTATGCATTTTAAAGCAATGATAAAGATGCTGACGGCCCACCTGATGGAAAGTGGTAACACACTTCAAAAAAGGAAGTTCTCAGGATGTATTTTTGTACCTCATAACTTCGTTATTTATAAACCGATTTGGATAATTCTTTTTTATTTAAAAGGATATACTTTCAGATTCCTCATCATCTCAGCCATTATTCGTCCACTGTTACACATAGACCTCTCCTATAGTTGGAGGGCTTTGCCAGTAGTTGCCACGCTTGGCAGGCGGGTTAGCAACCGTAGTAGATATGTTTTAAGAGGAATGCCCGTGAGTGTCATAAGAGCAGAGTAAGGGAGGGCGAGGGATGGGCAGCAGCGTCCCTCTTAAAACATCTCTAAAGCCTGACTGTGGTTGCCAATCCTCCTGCCAAGCGTGGCGACTACTGGCAAAACCCCCCAAAGGGGAGGCTTATGTTTAGCAATGGATGTGAAAATAATGGTGATAGTTTTAAATTATTGTATTGATATTTTAATGCTGACGAAATATAGTTACCATCATTGTTTCGTATAAGGCTGCGATACAGGGATGCCTCAGTTTCGCCATCACCCTCGGCTCCCGGTGAAGGTTGCGGCGTGCGTACTCCTCTTTTATGCATGTCAAGTCTATAATTTTTATCGCCACCTACAAATATATCAGTCTACTAAATACTCTACTATATGAGGGTGGCGTCCTCTAGTGCCGGTCCTCTAGTTTCTAGGTCTTCCTTCCATACGGAGGACTCTGATGTGGTACATTGTACAAAAGCTTTTCTTGTACTCCGAAGCGTGAAGAGAGCGGCAGTTACTTTTAAATGACCCAAATGTAAATTTGAAAATTTAATGGATTAGTTATCAATTGCGGAAAAGTATTAGTATAATCGGCGTATAATTATGGCAGCATAATCGTTTAATACGGCCACAAAAATATAGACGAAATGTGAACCTCCTTTCTTGTTAAGGCTTTTTTTGCGGAGTAAAATAGAAGGCAAAATCGAAATCCTTTCAAGGGACAGTTCCACTAGCGAATTTGAATAACATATTTCCACTAAAGGAACGTGGGCTGAGATAGGGCAAAAAAACTTTAATCACCCATACTCGTATTGTGTACACAATATTATAAACTTCAACATGTTTAAATCCAATTTTTATATATTTAGTTCAATTAATCATAATTTATTATTGTCCATAAGAGACAGGATCTCAGTTTCTTAGTTTCAGATCTAGTGAAAAAGTAGGATTGACTATGCTTTTTCTTGCTTCCGTTCAAATATGTTTTTTTTTTCAATTTTTGATTCACGATATTTTTGTCATTAATATGTTTTATAACATGGGTACATTCTTGGTTTTACGTTTTGTTTCTGATACTTAGAATGGCAAACAAACTGACGGCGAAGTGCTAACCGTCGCCTATAGACATGAGCAGCACCTTGAACATTACAGAATATGCTATGATACACATGCACTGCCATTCCTGAAGACATTATACACACATATATATATAAATGAGTACATATTGCACAATAAAACTTTGTACAAGTGGCGAGTTTAAAAATGGAAAGCGAGTTTAAAAATGAAATAAGGGCAGAGGTGGTGAAAATATGTATATATATATACACACATCATAAATCCGGAATGGTGTGATGGAGCTACGAGGAAGAGATTGCGAGATGATGATTACGGGAATGGGAGTCAACTGAAATCTGTCTTTCAATGAAGTGGGAGAGGAAGGATCATTGATGATAGAAAACAATGTGCAAAGTATGATTAATTTTACTGCCACCGTTTACAGTGAAACTGTCATGTGGGCACAGCTGTTTCACGCCAGTAACACGGTTGAGACAGATATAGTCATGCAAACTTTAGTATAAAGTCTCCCTCGCTGGTAAAATATACGTCTATTCCGATTTCACCTTTTGTTAAAAAGGCCAGAGTTATAGTCAATATAACATTAAGGTTACCTTCTTCCCTATAATCCTGTGTGTAGCCTCTTCGACCCTCGCAAAATGCCCTTTACCGAGCACTTTGCCTGTCATAAGGTAATTACCAACACTGTACACTTGATTTCTGCTCCGCGTCATATTCGAAGTCTTCATCTTAGCTCAGCACTGATTAATTTCGACACATTTTCCTCTAATAAACATGATATAGCCCTATATGTTTATCACAAGCACTCAATTTGATAAATTGACTGTTTACAAACTCCATAGCAATACTTCTCGATCAGTGTTTGGGACTATCTTTTGTTTGCCCCTCAAAATTGGAACGTCGTTAAATGAATTTGACATTTAGGAACACTATTTCGGTCGCCAGTTCGCCGGCAGCGGTGTAAAATACTTTTTAGTGGCTTCTGAAGTGTAGTCTTTTAAATTGGGTGTCAGGTGTGCCGTTCGCCATGGTTAGATAATTATATTCACGCCAAGTTTTTAAGAGGTAGTCAGAGAATTGAGCGACAAAATTTTGAATTTTGTTTTAGATGCTATTAAAGTACAACCAAATAATTCTACAAATTTATAGAAGTCTAATTGAGTTTGTTCCCATTTTTCATCTTTCAACTTATTATCGCAAAACCAGAGGGAGACTTTGTACAAAAATCGTTTACTTTGGCACCTCTGTCCCATTCGTGTTCTTACCGCCAAGCAGTTGCGTTTGCATGGCTGTGTTTCGGTTTAAAGTGTGGGATATGGCAGTGAATTTACAGGGTACAGAGGAATAACACCTGAGTTTTCAGGAATGGCAACGCATGGGGGGTATCATGGGCGAAACAGTATACTCTGTTATGTCCATGGTACTGCTCATGTCTATAGGCGACGGTTTCCACTTTCCATCAGGTGGACCGTCAGCTTGTTTGCCATTCTAAGTTGTATAAAAAAATCTAGTAAGAACTTCTCTTCTCTCTTTCTAGAAGAAGTGCTTGTTTATTTCACACTGAAGAATACATACAAATAGAGTTACAATCATATAAATGTAAAATTATTTATTTATTTAAATTCCAATGCACAATTATATAATGTAAGTAAGTGTACATATGGCGGACTTAACACCTAATGGCGTTCTCTACTAGTCAACCGTGAGGCCAGCAGAAAATTAAGTAGGCGGTGCATTTACTACTAAAATATGAATAAATATTTTTATAAAATATTATATACATCTTGTATATAAACAAATTGAAAGAGTCAACAGTTGAGTTTTTCGCGGGTTCTCCACAGCAGATAGCATTCCGATGCCCGGCAGTAGAATCATAAAAGATGTTTTAAAAGAGCTTCTAAACAAGTTTACTTGAATAAGGATAATTTTTAATTTAATATCTGATATTTATAGTAAAACAGCAACACTTAATAAAAAAAATATATTTCATATTTTGTGAGTATAAAAATATAGTATTCTTATATTTATTCGATATACTTGAACACAACTAAGCTTACAGACTATATATATATATATATATATATATATATATATATATATATATATATATATATATATATATATATATAAAACTAGAAATAAATTTATACTTAATACAACTTTTAACCTCATGAAAAATCTAAATACATTTATAAATGTTAATATATATTTTTTTTATTCCTAAACACAGGTTTCCCCCACAGAGTGCCATAAGGAACGGGAGCGTTCTTTATTACAGCTATGTATTGATTTAACAAATCAATTAGCAAATATAGTACCGAACTCTGAAATGATAGTTTTATATTTGATGTAACTGCTTCCTTGTACTTGATCGCCAATTGTATTGATCGTAACAGGCGCTCCACTGTCCTCTAGAACTTCAATTAATAATTTCACTTGCGGAAAATTTTCATTTATTGAAACTATATGCCCGTTGCCTATAAGCAATGATTTTATCATTTTCTGTACATCATCTAAATAATTTATAGCTATGGGTATTATTCCTACAGGTAGTCCCAGAGTCATATACATTCTGCCATTGTCAATTTCAAAAAATTTGTCCTCTCGGAACGACATTAATATCTTTTCCACTAACGTCACTATTTCATTATCAGAGTCCTGTTCATTTTTGTATTTCTCCAACGCTTTCCACATTATATTTATACGTTGTTTTGAACCATCGAATCTCGTCCAAGAATTTAAACGTTTCTTAATCTCTGATTGATTAATCGATAGATCCAATATGTTGGCTTGCTTGTACAACCATCGGGCTGTCATTGGTGGCCCATTCATGTTTCCGAAGTCGTTCACCCAAACTAAAACAGATGGCGCTTGGAGGGCAATCTCATGCGCTTCTGAGATATCATTCGACCATAATGATAATAGAATTGCATTTTGAATTAAAGTTAGTACTTCTTTGGTCGTTCTATAAGCCTCGACGTATATATTGTGAGATCCACTATCTACGACTGCTTTATCGCCGACAAAATCAAATATGAATACTTTATCTTTGTACACATACAACTCGGAGGATAATTTTTTAACGTCCTCCGACACTTGTACATTCTCTTGTTCTTTCAATTTGCTTTTATACTCTATACATTTTTTAAATGTTTGATAAACGTTCTCCTGGACCAGGATCCGCTGCAGTCTCCAAGGCTTCTGTAAATTAGAAGAAGTTATATAAACTAAGTAACTTTTAAAAAATATGTATCCAAATTTAGTAAGTCAAACGTCAATTTAGCTGACTAAAATTTGTCACGTTTTTTTACTGTCTACGCTCTATCTGATAGATAAATAGATAACTCATTTACATTACTTACAGCATACACATAACAACAAACATATACAGTTAAAAGAGATAAAATAATATATATACAAAAAAAAAGCAAAATATATAAAACAAGTAACAATTTTTATCTTACATGCGTGTGCCATAGTAACACAAAATGGTCACAACTCAGTTTATTGCTTTGCCCTGAAAAGAGCAAAACACTGATATTCTGCTGTGGCCAAGATAATATATCTATATAATCTTAGGTTGATAAGTTTATTTTTTATTTTTTTTATACGACTTAGAATGGCAGAGAAGCTGACGGCTCACCTGATGGAAAGTGGTGACCGTCGCCTATAGACATGAGCAGTACCATGGACATAACAGAGTATACTATTTCGCCCATGATACCCCCATGCGTTGCCATTCCTGAGGACTCATATGTTATTACTCTGTACCCAGTAAATTCAGTATATCTAGTAAGAACAATAAATCACCTGCGATGTAGATACAAGGAAGGCATCGGCTGCAGAGTCAATATCACTCTTCTCTGTGATTATTCCAGTACAGAATGTATTGAAATCTGAAACAAACAGATGTGTGTAGAAGGTTCGTATTCGAATCACTGACCGATTCTTGGAAGACACTCAATAACAGTTATTGCATTAAAATGTAGAATTAATGCAAATGCATTTATTGTTTTCGCAGTAAAGAATGACATACATACATATAATGTTGGAGTCACATTCAAAGACAAAGTGTGAAAAGAACGAAAAGTATGTCAGTGAAGGTTTTAAAGTCGTTGCAATAATTGACAAGATTATGGAGTCTTTTTTAATGGGTGGAAATAGGGGGTAAAGGATTGTTAGTAATGGGGAGGTTAGTCCCCATTGCTATCAATTTACTCTATCAGGTAGACCACCTCGCGGTTCTCACTTGGTTGGGTATATTGCTAGCAATAGGATTCTAAGTCTCTATTACTAACAATCCCTTTCTCCCCCGGTGCCACGTAATTAGAAAGCCCACCCCGAGCAACGGGAAAAACCCAAAATCTTTAGGAAAAACCGAGGCAAAAGAGGAGGAGAAATAATGAATGACATAGATATAGAATTATCAATCTTTAATTTAGGAACATAGAGGTTTCATAATTTTACTTTTTCCTTGGGAGTTTAAAAAGCCAGACACGTTTATACGAAGTTCTGCTTGAATCTCGGGTTAGACATCAGAAAATTTTGAGGTTATAACTTGTAAAAAAAATATTAATATAAACAATGACTTACGTACCTGATTTTAATGGGCTACCGGACCTCACAATGTCGACTTTCAATCTAAAAATAATCATTAAACAATAAATAACAAGATATATACATATATAATCAATCGATTGATTCTTAAAAGCTAGAATACGCCGTTGTCATAGTAATTAGGCATCGAGCGTTCTATGGCACCACCCAGAACCCAGTACTTGCTACGCTTGGCAGGTCTATTGGCAACCGCAGTTACCGCTGCTTTGGTGATGTTTTAAGAAGGACGCTGCTGCCCATCTCTCGCCCTCCCTTAGTCGCCTCTTACGACACCCACGGGAAAGGAAGGGCCTATTAAATGTCGATGAATGAACCTAGACTCGAGTCAGAGAAGTTTGTTTTCTAAATGGGCCCCACTGGGAATCAAACACAAATCAATGTTTTTTTTTTTATTTATACAACTTAGAATGGCAAACAAGCTGACGGCCCACATGATGGAAAGTGGTAACCGTCGCCTATAGACATGAGCAGTACCATAGACATAACAGAGTATACTGTTTCGCCCATGATACCCCCCATGCGTTGCCATTCCTGAGGACTCAGGTGTTATTCCTCTGTACCCAGTAAATTCACGCCATATCCCACCCTTCAAACCGAAACACAGCCATGCAAACACAACTGCTTCGCGGTTGAAACACGAATGGGACAGAGGTACCCAAGCAATTGACTTTTGTACAAAGTCTCCCTCTGGTGAGAAAGGGAAGAAAGGAAGGGCTGGTGCATTCTATGCCGGGACCACATGGCAAACAGTTAGTATCTAGCAATAATTACCCAACATCTGCGCACAGCTGTTTGAAAAGAAAACATACTGGAACTGTTATTTCTGTGCAGTAAACGTGAAAATGCGGATAAGCATAACTGAAGAAGCCGAGGAAAGCTAAAGGGGTGTCGTCACCCATGTTTAATACATGATCTGAAAAAAAGGACATTTAATTCTTAAGATGCTCACAACAATAGCTACTTGTTAAAAATATACCAAATTATCTTTAAACTAAGATTACAAAGAGTTTTGAATTATTGTTTGTAATAAAAATAAATAAATAATAATAATTAAAAAAGTTTATTATTATTAAATTAAATTAAAGTCGTTTGCTTGGGTACCTCTGTCCCATTCGTGTTTCAACCGTAAAGCAGTTGTGTTTGGATGGCTGTGTTTCGGTTTAAAGGGTGGGATATGGCGTGAATTTATAGGGTACAGAGGAGAAACACCTGAGTCCTCAGGAATAGCAACGCATGGTATACTCTGTTATATCCATGGTACTGTTCATGTCTATAGGTGACGGTTACCACTTTTCATCAGGTGGGCCATCAGCTTATTTGCCATTCTAAGTTGTATAAAAAATTTTTTTTATACGACTTAGAATGGTCAACTGACGGTATGTGGTAACCGTCGCCTATATACATAACAGAGTATACTGTTTCGCCCATGATACTCCTCATGCGTTGTCATTCCTGAGGACTAAGGTGTCATTCCTCTGTATCCTGTAAATTCTCTGCCATCCCACCCATGAAACGAAAACACAGGCATGCAAACACAACTGCTTCACGGTAGAAACACGAATGGGACAGAGGTACCCAAGCAAACGACTTTTGTACAAAGTATCCCTCTTATAAATCTTATGAGAGTATTTCCCTTCATCAAAAATCGGTTAATAAAGAAATAAAGTAAATGTTTATAATTTTGACAAAGTCGGTTAGCATTAATTATTTAAGCCACTGTTCATCCCGGTCCCAAAAATATGTTTCGGCCACACGGAGTCATCATCAGGGGTCATCACCATCACCATAATCGTCATCATCATATCAGCCTTTAACTGTCCACTGCTGAACATAACGCTTGGCAGATGGTTTAGTATTCACAGTCAGGTTTTAGAGATGTTTTAAGAGAGATGCTCCTGCCAATCTCTTGCCCTGGGAGGAAAGGCATTGTTAGTAATGGAGACTGAGCACCTCATTGCTAGCAATATGCCCAACCAGGTCGACCTCCTCGCGGTTCCCCCTGGAAATTATCATGGTTAATTCCTGATGAATTCATCATGATGGGCTAACTGGCCTGTTTTCATTCTCATCTATCACCCTTCACTGGTGCTCCGCCAGCGTATCCAGTTAGCGTAGGCGGGGTTACCATTCCATTTTTACCCATAAAAAAAAATACCTTGTCTATATTTAGTCAATCCGGGATGGCCAATTCTATGTTGGGAGCACACGGCTAAAGTCAGGTGTAAAATATAGTAATTAATATATACTTACTATTCGTACAAACTCGCGGTTCAGCGCTGTCCAATAAGGTATTTTCAATTAATTTCAAATCGATATTTTTCACTTCCTCTATAGTTCTGTTCCTTAACATATATTCAAGTTGACAAAATAACTCTGCGTTTTTCTCAATGCTCTTTGCCAGTTTCCTTTTAGCGAGAATTATATCCAGTTCTGGTGGAATTAAATCAAATCGTAACACCTCAGGTGCAGTGTGTGTTACGTTTTTAAATTCATCATTATAGGCTAGTATATATTCCTGTAATTAAGAGAAAATTGATTTTGGTCAACGCATCTCTAAAGCCATTCAGCTTGGTAATGCAGCAAGTCTCCTAGGTACCCTACCAGTTGGCAGTGATTACAAGGAAATTTTTTATATTTAAATATTCTTTTAAGGTCTTGTTTTTAATATTTATAATACATAGATGTATTTTTTTTTATACAACTTAGAATGGCCAACAAGCTGACGGTCCACCTGATTGAAAGTGGTAACCGTCGCCTATAGACATGAGCAGTACCATGGACAATAACAGAGTATACTGTTTTGCCCATGATACCCCCCATACGTTGCCATTCCTGAGGACTCGGGTGTTGTTCCTCTGTACCCAGTAAATTCACGCCATATAACACAGCCATGCAAACACAACTGCTTCACTTTATTATTGTGATGTAAAATGCAACGGTTTGCGCCATTCTGGTATCATTTGGGAGGAAATTCCAAAGTCTAGCAGCTTGCACAGTAAAAGATTTGGTATATATGTATATATTCGTTTATTAAGAGGTTTCATAACATCCAATTCAGCACTGCACGTACTGGGTTAATGTGTCGCCCCCACCATTTTTATCTTAATTTCCGTTTTTTTATGTAACTTAGAATGTATGAATTATTTATTGTTGTAATGTAATAAATTATTATTATTGTATATAAGTTATAATATATATTAATTTATATAATAATATGTATAGATAGAGCATCGATTCATATAAACGGATCAACTTTTTGTCAGTTATTTGCCAAATTAGCTAACACTTTTTTTATCAGTGTTCTTAAGGTTGAAATATACGTCACTACTAATCTCGTCATATCAATTCATCCCTCAACAACTGACATTATTTTAAAATGGCCGCATCTACAAGATGGCGGATTATGTTTGATAAAATTTTGTTTTTTATAAATGCTTTAATCAGACTTGTTTTCAAGGGAACATGAGTGGATAAGTGATAAAAAATTTCAAATCTCAACAGGGTGTCCACTTTATTTAATTAGTATGGAAGACTCAATATTAATTTGTTTTTCTCTGCATGCTCTTTTGGTTAAAATGTTCAGTCTCATTGGGAGGAAACTGTTTAAAAAGAAAATATTTGTATTTCACTACATACGCATAAATTGTATTATTAAAAATATAACTCTTTTCTGTTAAATGGTTGCCTGGAAGAAATCGCTCTTAGCGATAAGGCCGCATCTTATTTCTTGTAATTGTTTGTATATATTTATAATAAATTTACTGGTGAAATCTTTTGGACGAAACAATAAAGAGTATTTTATTTATTTTAATTTATTAATTTAGAGGGAAGCTTACAGCTGTAATAGCTTAATAATTAACTATACATGACAACAATAAGATATTTAGAAGCTACCTCATATAATTAACGAGAATTAAATTACAGTCTAGATAATTAATAAATGTGAAAACATTACATGCACTCATACAGCATAACATGCAGCGGCCAGCAATTGAAGCATTGATGGACGAACGTGCAAATGTGGGCCGAGGCGTAGCCAAGGCACACATACGTGAGTCCATCAATGCCTAGTTGTGGCCAAGGCTTGTATAGTACTTTTCTCAAGCAATGCGCGGAAATCAAAAACACAATTTTACTTTTTAAGTTCAATGATGAATAACGAACCATAATAATTTTTCACGCGCCATAATGTTCATTTGTTTTTTTTTTAATAAACAGTTTTTTATTTACAAGTCAGTTCGAAATTTAAATAAAACCTTTTACTAGTTACCTCCTTGGTGGTCATGTTTCGAAGTAAAGGGTCATTCCATTTTTAAATTACAGGACAGATATGAGTTTACATAGTAATTTATCTGGCCGCAAAACACGACAGATATCGATTTTCATACAACTTTTGCCGGCCGCTGCCCGCATGTATTTGGCCAGTACGGCAATTTTGATTTATCTCGAAGAAGATTGTCAAAATAATGCTCACATTTCCAAGCATGTTTGAGAAAATGTAATATACTATGTAAACATTAGGTACGCTTACCTCGGCTAATCGAGTGGAAACAATCGGCGGTGCGTCAAATTTGAGTTCCAAATGAGCCATAGTTTAACACCTGCAACATAATAAATTACTCATTTATTGTTATATGTCTAGGATATGAATATTTTAAAACAAGTATATAAAAGAGTATATAAAAGTATACAAGCTCTGTCAGAGATAAGTCCACCCTTGCTCACAACATTTATAAATATATTATTTTATATGTAACTTACAAGTGCAATAAAGAATATATAAAATACTTTTGGTAAATAAGAGTACATATATGTTTTTGTTTCCTGATTGGTCATGTAAAGATTGTATCAGAAACGATTCAATAGTTTAGTTTTGAAATAAAAATAACTGGTTTTGCATCGAATTGTGTTTAGGGTTCCGGACAAATGAAATGCAAAGTAACACTCACATAAGCGTTTCTTTGTATTTGCAACTTTATCTGTCAGTCAGTCACAACACTATAATTGAGATATAATGCAAAAAAAAAAATGGATTAATAGCTCAATAATATTAAAAATATTTTTAGCCAAATAATATTGCATTGCAGTGGAAATAATTGGAAAAATATATTTATTTTCTTTGTTAAGTATATTAAAAATTACAAAATGGTGGTAATAGTTCAAAAAGTTTTAAAACTAATTTTTGTTTTTACTTATGATCCAAAATGTGAAAAATGATGTAGATGATATATGCCAAATAAAAAGTTTACAAATATCACGGTTAACTAAGAAAAGACTATGTAGGTATATATTTAAGAGAAATATGAATAAATCTATATGAGAGATCTTAATAAGACTAATAAATGTCAATACAAGAACTTTTAGAAATTTTGCCTGTTTACCTAATTGTTTTTGTTTATAACAATCCATACAAAAGTACTACTATAATCTAAGAAAAGTATCTTATTTCGCTATATAATGAAATTCAAATAGGTTAAGAGAAATGACGCTCAAATATCAACTTAACATTTATAATAAGTACTTACTTTTCGGTTGTCGCTTTTTATTGGTTTGGTGCACGCACGTTTCTACTTTAAGCTACACTTCAGAGGAGTGGTATGATAATGTTATTCTTATCTATCAAATATTATTATTCACAGATGATGTTAAACATGTTATCTACTGGAAACACCGTAGAGGGCATATTTATAGCAATACAAATTGTTACCAATAGCGTTGCTTGTAGTCCAAATCAGTAGAACATTCAAACGTCACTAGATGTCGCTATACGCTAAAGATGTTTCAGATGTCGCTAGATGTCGTTTAAATTGTTCATTACGGTATAATAAAAGTGGTTCTTATGTTAAATTTTTGTATAGATAAATTAAAAGATTCAATATTAATACATTTGATATATTTTTTAGTATGTAGCATAGATGTTGTTTACTACGATAAATTACTTATTTTTCTATAATGATCTGGGGATTTTTTTTTACCGAAAGAAGAGATGCGCTTCACTTAAATTTTTTTTTTCAAATATTTAATCTTAGAAGCTAATAATGTAATGAGAATTGTCGATGATCCGAGGCTTACAAGCAGTATTAAACCTTTAAGTCTTCTATCGTCTGCATGTTCTAGCGCTTGTACAAAGAACTGTGTTCAGAGGAATTGTTTAACATGATGCCCACCGGCAACTTTTTACAATTATACAGCCCGCCACTGACAAGGAGTTCGCTCTCATATCTTAGAGGTTGGAGGGTTGCGTGCAGCGTGGTTTCAGAGAGAGGGGGGGGGGGGAGGGGAAAGAACGGTTAGTATTGGGGCCTAAAATCTCCATTGCTAGCAATATACCCTATCAGGTTGCCCTACACCTGGTTTTCCCTGGAAACCATCGCAGTTAACTCCTGAATTCGTCACGGTAGCCTAACTGACCTGCTTTCATCCTCACCTATCATCTCTCGCTGGTGTCCCGACAGTGTATACCGACAGTGCAGGCAGGGATATTCATTATCAGAACAAATAAATACAGAGATAACAAATAAATTTAATTTTACATTTATAATATCTATTAGTAAGGATAAGTAATATATTTTAATTTTCAATAACTTAAATATATAAAGGTAAAATTCATAGATGACATTTATGGTTGTCCACCGAACGCTAACACTAAGGCTAAAACATGCATCCAATAAGAATCAGTTCGTGGATAGGACAATTGACTTACTTATATATATCCCTCTGGTATATATATATATATATATATATATATATATATATATATATATATATATATATATATATATATATATATATATATATATAAACTGATAGTGTATTTAAAATATGTTTAAACAGCGTAAAAGTTTAAAATTGACTTATATCCTGTATAAAAGTTAGTTGTTTTATCCATAAATAGAAAAAAAAACGTAAAAATTTACGTAATTTAATTTTAAATTTGTTTAATGGAATATTTTATTTCCTTTATATCCATAGAAATATTATTATAGATTTTTAAAGACATCATATAGGATTTTTTTAATAAACAGTTTGTTTATTTATTTATTTATCGATTCGTTGTTTAAATGTACACGTAATGTAGCGTTTTGTTTTGTGGTCGACTTAAACAGAAGTATATTTAGGAATTGTTTTAGGAATTGTTGAGGGTATTTTTGAGGATATCATGCACTTGAATGAATGAATTTTTTTTATACAACTTAGAATGGCAAACAAGCTGACGGCCCACCTGATGGAAAGTGGTAACCGTCGCCTATAGACATGAACAGTACCATGGACATAACAGAGTATACTGTTTCGCCCATGATACCCCCCATGTGTTGCCATTCCTGAGGACTCAGATGTTATTCCTCTGTACCTTGTAAATTCACGCCATATTCCACCCTTCAAACCGAAACACAGCCATGCAAACACAACTGCTTCACGGTTGAAACACGAATGGGACAGAGGTACCCAAGCAATCGACTTTTGTACAAAGTCTCCCTCTGGCAAATAAATGAATGACTGAATGTTAGTAGGATGTCAATATCTCTTTGTTCTATAACATAGCCTAAAAGGTAAATACGTATCTATTTGTATTTGTTTATGTATTATTAATGCATATAAGAGTAATGTAATAAATAAATCAATAAAAAATATATAAATTGCCATATCAATTAATTATTTTAAATCTTGGACTCTGCGTTCAATGAATCCGTGCGGCCCTTACTATAAATTTCCCGCGGCCGCAAACGGCGGGAACCCCAAATCATTCTGAATGGAATTAGGTGGATGTTACTTGAATAATTTTCCTATGTTGGGGAAGGGTAGGGATTGTTAGTAACGGGGAAGTTTGTTCTCAGCAGCCAGCAATATAACAGTATATCCTGCCAAGTCACTCCACGCGTTTCACTCTGGAAATCACTATGATTTTTCCTGTCTTTTTTTTTCATTTAATCATGTAATTTATTATTTTATGTCATAGTATAAAGAAATAAGAATATTTTATAGTGAAATAGTATAAAATACTATGAAATACTAAAAAAACAATAATATAATACACACATTTAAGAACTTCCGCTACGTGCGGAATCAGTTGTGTAAAGTCAACGCACCAAGCGTAGGGGGGAAAGGAGTTGTTAGCAATGGAGTTTGAGAGCCCCATTGTTAGCAATATGTCTTATTAGGTCGACCTCCACGTTCTGCCTGGTAACCATCGTGAACAATTCCTGTTGAATTCGTCACAATGGGCTAACTGATCTGCTTCATTTTCATCTATCATCCTTCACTGGTGCCCCGCCAGTGTATACCGATACCGCGGGTGGGGTTACCATTCCATTATCATTCATTAAAAAAAAAAAAAAAAAACGCCCCAAACATAAGTAAACTACCTACGAAGAAACGCTATTGAGTGTGTTATAGGTATCACGCGTACGAAAACTACCTATGAAGAAGCGCTATTGAGTGTGTGTTGTAGGTATTACGCGTCGTGTTTATTGTAAAATTTTAAATACATTGCGTGTTGTCGACCAAGAATCGTTAATTATTTGGCTGTGGTACATTTTCGGTGGGAAAATAATCTGCCATCCGATTCAGACCATACATCTAAATCAGCTGTTTTCGTTTTGGCCAACCTGTTCCTTGCACCCTGTATATGGTACAATATAGGATGTATTCTAAGATATAATCTATCCCTGTACCAAATTTCATTTAAATCCAATGAGAGGGAGGGAGACTTTGTACAAAAGTCGATTGCTTGGGTACCTCTGTTCCATTCGTGTTTCAACCGTAAAGCAATTGTGTTTGCATGGCTGTGTTTCGGTTTAAAGGGTGGGATATGGCGTGAATTTACAGGGTACAGAGGAATAACACCTGAGTCCTCAGGAATGGCAATGCATGGAGGGTATCATGGGCGAAACAGTAAACTCTGTTATGTCCATGATATTGTTCATGTCTGTAGGCGACGGTTACCACTTTCCATCAGGTGGGCCGTCAGCTTGTTTGCCATGCTAAGTTGCATAAAAAAAAAGAGTAGTTTTTGCGTGAAAGAGTAATAAAAATTCATCTACAAAATTTCGATTTTATAACAGGATTCTGGATAGGAAATAATATTTTATTCTTGATTCTTTATTGTACACAAAAGATTATTGAAATAGAAAAAAAAAAACAAACATAATAGTGCACAAAGGCGAGCTTATCTCCAAAATAGATTTCTTCCAGCAAACTCAATATGAGAAAAACTGACAGTTTATTAGTACTTACAGTCATACATGTGTAGTAATCGACTTAAATGTTTTTTTTTAATTTTTTTTTTTTATACAACTTAGAATGGCAAACAAGCTGACAGCCCACCTGATGGAAAGTGGTAACCGTCGCCTATAGACATGAGCAGTACCATGGACATAACAGAGTATATTGTTTCGCTCATGATACCCCCCCCGCGTTGCCATTCCTGAGGACTCAGGTGTTATTCCTCTGTACCCAGTAAATTCACGCCATATCCCACCCTTCAAACCGAACCGAAACCTTCGCGGTTGAAACACGAATGGGACAGAGGTACCCAAGCAATCGACTTTTGTACAAAGTCTCCCTCTGGTAAAGGTATAGTTAAAAATGAATAAATAAAATTTAACTACATTGGCTAGATAATGGTTAACAGGTAGGCGAGTGGTAGTTATAGTACTGTGTGCTGAGCATAGTAACAATTTGAGATGTCGCTATTACTTCGCGACAATAGGTGGAGTCAAGTTGCAGCTATTGTAAATCGCTTGAAAGGTACAGTCGGCTACATTTAATGAATATTTGAATAACGAAACGACGTGACAATGTCACAGTAATACATCTTCATTATTAATCATTAGTAATCATCTTCATCATCATCATCATCTCAGCCATAACAACATAGGAACGTACAGCCATTTGTACCTAATGTTATAGGCATTCATTCATTTTACCAGAGGCAGACTTTGTACAAAAGTCGTTTGCTTAGGCACTTTTGTCCCAAGCTTGTTTTTACACAATATTAACGTATCACTTTGATAATGCTGTGTAAAATAGAATAGGCAACCCGTTCCTTTCCCGTGAGTGTTGTCAGAGGCGACTAAGGGAGGGCGAAGGACGGGCAGCAGCGTCCCTCTTAAAACATCACCAAAGCCTAACTGCGGTTGCCAATCCGTCTACGAACCGTGGCAACTACTGCCTCCCCCTTCCAAAGGGGGAGGTTTATGTTCAGCAGTGGACAGTTAAAAGCTGATATGATGATAAATTGGTAATATTAAATTAGTTAGTGGTCAAATCGTAACTAAATAAAACGCACTTCCTGATAGCATTAAGAGACTACCGACTAAACCGTCTTTAATAAACAAAACGTTCATGCTCACTTTTTTACTTTATCCGAGCAGTAAGTACTCTATATTATTCTTAATTTTGTGTACAATATAGTATATTTTATATATGTGTAAGTATATTTGTTATTTATATATATTTATTCGTTTATATATGTAATTTTAGTATGTATGTATATCAATAATTACTAGTACCGCATTCGAGTATTCTGACACTTCCCTATGGTTGACTGGGAGACGATGCTTTTAGCATTAAGTCCGCCATGTACACATGTATGTATTAATGAATATATAAATAAAAATTAATATAAATGTTTAATGTATATTGTTATTTAGTCGAGTGTACTGAAGGCAAGTTGGGATGCAAG